CTTCATTTTAATGTAAGTTTTTGTCAATACAGAATTTAGTCTAGTTATTTGAATATGCCATGGTGATACTTAGATAACCGACTTCCTTTTACGTGGGAGATGATGAATTTGTAGGAGATTTACAATTTATGATTAGAGATCTACTTTAGTGGTCATGGCTTAGTCGAAGCGAATTCTAAGTTCTCCATTAGTTCAATATATAATAGATGATTACAGAAACTAAGCACTAGTTAGCATTGAGCAGGGTAAGTTCACAGTATAAAATCTTGATGCCAGTCAGTTAACAGCTCACGTGAACGATAAATATAGGAATGTAGACTTTCCTCATATAATCTTCCTATACCTTATACTTTCGTTTCATTAATAAAATCATCATCAGAATCCATGGAGACCCTGGGCATGCGAAAATCTTCTGGTCTAGTCAAAATGACTCTAGAGATAGGCTGACAAGCATCAAGATTCGGACTAGAAACTGATGAGAGATTATCTTGTTGTGCAGATAGTTCACTTACAAATTGTGAAGATGTGTATTCAATCTCGTCCACCTGCCTCTCCATGTCAGTGATTCATGCTGATTCATATTTAGGTGTTGTTAAAATTAACTAGAGCTAATTATCTTAGAAGTTACTTGGGAATTCCAAGACCAGTAGTTCGAAATAGAACCCTCTGGTTACGCACAAAATCCGAGAGTCAAGAGAGGAGGACAAAGCGTGCATCTTAGGTACGACCACTAGCCCCGATCCACTGCTGGTGTCAAAATTTAATGACAGTAATAATAAATTAAATTAAGAACCCTAAGCTGTGAAGTTAAAGGCAGTATCCAAAGAGTGTGTCGATAAAAACAAACATTCATAGGCTGTATCGGAATCGAATCACGGTTAAGAACGAAAGGCGTATGAAAGCTTGATTTCAGTAAAAATGATTAATTGTCATACATTTAGCCACCCTTGACAAATTTGAACAGTGCGATAACAAAGATACTTGCAGAATAAAGTAAGCTCATTTTATTTCATGACCTTTCATCAGCTTCAAACAGCCTACAGTTGAAATGAAGTATTAGTAGCAATGATGGTATAACACATTTTAAATACGTAGAAGTAAATTGAGATTTGAAATCCAGGATTAACAATAAGGTATTGAGTAATGGAAAAGCAGGATTAATAATTAGAAATCTTAGTCAAAATCAGTGGCTTTTTATATCTGATGAGACAAAACTCTAGGGCTGTAGAATGGGGGGGAAATCATGCCATTATTATTACTGATACTTCACTTCAGTTGTAGGCTGTTTACAGCTGATGAAAGGCAATGAAATAAAAGTGAGCTTGTTTTATTTTGCAAAGGCCTTTGTTCTTAAATTGTTCAGAAAGGATTAAGATAAACAGAGTTTCAAGAGACAAGGTGACGAGGTAGATTCAGTAAACAATAAGATAAGTGGTCACAAGATGAAGGAAAGTAAGGTGAACCATAAACAGGTTTGATAGGTCATGCATAAGAATAATACATGTAAGTGAATAATATTCTTTTCGACTATTATGTAAACTTGTTACATCAAAACTTACTATTTTTTTCATACTGTTTTATCTGAATGCTGTTCTGCATTTGTTGCATCTCGTGTAAATTAGCTGATCTATATTATGAAAGTTTTCCCATAGGATGTATATAATGTCAACGTTAAATATTTTAATAACTCACGTATTGCGGTGTTCATAAAGTAAACTGTTGATCTAAACAGATAACCTAGTTTATGAACTCCAACAGTGACATACTGCAGCAATAAAACATGAAAGAAGACAACGGGAGAAGCGATGTAGTCACAAATATCTCCCGCAGTAGCCGATACATATTTATGGATATTTGGATTTGTATTACTCTTACAACGTATTCCTAAGATATGTCGCATGTGAGTGGATGACACATTCATTGAATTAAAATCCTTATCATATTCATAATTTTTTATCACACTTAAGCTTAGTGGTAGAAGAAATTCAGTTTAACTGCAACTTAGAAACTGAACAAAGAGAAGTGGCTGTGGTAAATAGCAAAATAAAACAGACCAGACGATGGTTTACATATTGTTTACAGAAAACCATCGCAATCCATTGGATATTCCATTTCACATCTGAAAAGGTAGGTTCGGTAAAGCATTTTAACAATCAAGACAGGGATCTAACTAGTAAGTCTAAGAACCCAACTAAGGAAATAAAATAAATAAGATATGTGGTAACACTTAACCACCATCATCAATGTCAACCTTGCAACGGGCATTACCGCACAACGGTTCAGATTGCCACGTTTCATATCAGCACATTGAGTCACAAAGTATTAAGATAAGAAACAGGTAAAATAGGAAAAATCTACCTTAAGCAGTGGAAATTAATTAAATAGAGGAAGAAGAAATGAAGAAATGCTGAATTCAGTATAGTGGTCAAGATGGCGATAAACTGTGAATACATCTGCATCACTGACATTGATTCTGAGCCCCATCACTCAGAGTCTCCAATCACTGGTCTCTGTTGTCATGTGGACACCAACCTGCTAGTCTGCATCTCCCAACATAGCTCAAACCAACAGTCAGAGACTTCAGTGAATAATGCCATGTTTTAGTCTGGCCGCCTCTAACCTTTTTCTAGCTTGAACTTAGCCAACATCATGCGACGAGACAGACGGTAACTGGTCATGTGCAACATATATCCCATCCATCCCAGTTGATGAAGGTTTACAATAGCACCAACTGTTTTACATCTGCTGCCTAAAACTCTACACCCTACTTCGGTTTTACTCACACGGTGATGCCAGGACACATCCTAAGAAGGTAACGGTGATTAGATGCATAAAGCTTTTTGATGTCCCCAACCTATAATGGCCATGTTTCACAGCCGTACAGTAGAACAGGGTGAATCGCAGTCCCTTAACTGACAGTCGGATATCACAACAGCGCTAATCGAACCATTTGTATTATTCAGAGATTTAGTCGGCAAATGGCCCATGAGGATTGATCTAGCTTCCTAGGTAGGTGGTGTTTGGCGCACTCAACTCATTCACTCCCTATTTCTAGATGGGAGACTTCTGAGGACCACTCTTAGGGAAACAACTTGCGTTTGGGTGACAAGAAAAGCATCCTAAACAGCCTCATTACTGAATAATTATCCCCGGAAATTTTAAAAAATGCATACTATGTCAGAGGATAAAGAAATGTAGTAAGGAATCAATCACTTCAATGCAACTAATAAACAGTTAAACACCACTATGGTATTGCTGTATGAAAACAGAACATCATAAACCTTGTGCAGAATTCCTAATAAGGCTAGGACCTGGGTCAGACGTACACTTATGAATTCCCTCTGAGATAAACCCTGTCGATTTGACGAGTTCGTTGACTAGTGGATACAAAGTAATCTCATTGACCAAATAATGATAGACCCCACTGAGATAAGTAATCTGAAATAAAAGATCAGTCATTGGTATATATGCTGTGACACAATCACAAAGCAGAGTGTGACAAGGTAACAGCCCTAACGATCAATATACTTAGGGGAAAGCAGAAGTAAATCACTGAGTCCCTGTTCACCGAATCGACAGCAGACACGTGTAGTGAGAATGACTGAATACCAACCTTGGATATATAGAGTAGAGAGTCCTACGATGATCAAAATCGAAGAGTGGAAAGTTGCGGGATCAGTTTAATGAGCTTGTGCTCGAAACGTCAACCAGTAAATAGTACTGTTTCACTTGTTTGCTATGTTAACTAAATTTACTGAAAACAGAATAATACTATACGGGTGAACAATTTTTCAATCCTAATATCTAATAATAATCTGTCACTGAAATTCCACCTACCTCTTTCTTATTCTTCACGTGTTTAATATACTTATTATAGTTTTTTAGGCTTTGTTCATTCGCTTACTTCGTCCTTCAGTATTATGTAACTTTTATTTTTTCAAGATTTTCGACCCACTTTGATCATCGGAATGTCTACAGTTTCCTGCTATTTTCCTGGTTCCTATCATCATTATAATCCGTGTTACAACTGGCTTAGTGAACACTATCAACCTTAGCATTATGATTGGTATTTTTATTATTATCATCACTGTTATTTCATAACACATCACATTAACCAATAAATCTATATAATTGGCTGATTTCTTATATATATTTAGCTATTGATATCAGGATAAAGCCTGAAGAAGGTCTAATAGAAAACAGCATTCCCTGATTTTATGTCGTCCTAATTTCTTTTCAAATTCTCCTAACTGTAATGGATTAATAATCATCAGTTAGTTGCTTTAAATTATTTTAGTTTTAGCTATTAAAAATAATCACCCTATTCTAACTATATTCTTTCATGCATAAGCACCTGATGATGTTTACTATTTTAACATATTATTCCCCGTAATTTCAACTTGATTTATTATATTTTTAAACTACTGCTAATGAGGTAACCCTATGTAGTCTTTTGATTCAAACACCTCTTAGATTTTATTGTCTCTAAACATAATCTTTTAAAGCCACACTGGTAGTTAGGAGAATAGTGAAATCTAAATGATTATTTTAGTCACTTTCCCGAGTTGAGTTATAGGTACTTTCCAATTTAAAAATTACATACTATTATCATCACACATGAAATACATTCCGTTAAAGTGAACAATTATTTATTATTATGAGTCTACGCGTTTATACCAAATTTAAGACCTCATAGAAATAATCATGTTCATAGAGTATTCCATTGATGAGACCTACCAATGATTATTTAAAAATTTGCTAAATTCCACTTTCCATACACTTTTGTTTAGACTTAAGAATACATATTTTATCCCAAGGGTTATCGGGAATTGATTAACTTCAAGGAATTTTCATCATTGATTGGTTTCAGCTAGAGAAGTTTGTTAACTGTGTTACTTTGATTTAGGACTGTCACCTTAACAATGAAAACCTACAACCTCACTAGATCTTACTGAGAGCACGTTAAGACTTTTGAACTTTTAAAACTTCTTGAAAAACATGCATTCATGCTACTTATTTAATTGAAACAGCTTACATAATAACAAAGTTTGTTAATCATTACAAAAAAGGGGTGATTTTTTTTCATATATATTTGTTGAATTATAAAAATATATTCTTTTTATTCAAATCTACTTAAACTTTCTCAGGTTGATTGAATTCATTGAATGGGTTGAACAACATCTTCCTTTATTATTGTTTTGTTTAAATATATAAATCTGCAATACTTCAATTTTGTATACTGAAACTTAAACGTTTTTAAGTAACCAATTCCTATTGAAGAAGGGCGATTAATCGTCAGTTTTCGCTAACAGTCTGAATATTTACACTTTTTACGTAAATGGTATATTTTGTGACATTGTTAAGAGTATTCTAAAAGAGGAAGTGAATGAGATTTACAGAATATTATTGTCTTGGAATTACTATATACACAAAAGAATGTGAATTACGAAGAATTCCATTTTATCTTTTGTGATAGATGGTGTTAACTCTCAATGTTTCTGTTCAAGGATAATCTTAAGCATGGGTAACAAAAGGAGATAGTTAAATATAAATTCTAAATTCTTTGAATACATTCTTCTTTGTTATATTTTTGCTGAAATATAGATATGAAAATATTTGAGAAAATCTACTTTATTTCAGAACAAACGATTATTTAAAGGATTAGTTTTGTTTAAATTTACTAATTATAACGAAATAACCTTTTCTGATTAAACCAAAAACAGATTTAGATACAATTAATCAATATCATGAGATATAGATGGATGTTTATGCAGTAACCTTTTAAATGGATTCGCTTTTGGTGTTTCTGGTGAAATCTGTCTTGAATTAGTTAGACTCTGACTACGAAAATCATGATTACGTGGAGGTAATTGAAATGTAACAACTCGATTCTCTGGTGAATAATGTGGTCTGCCGTATTGATGTAGGCATGGTCGTGAAATGGATGATGTTGATGAGGTGATATACTTCGATGAAGGTAAGTTGTCTTTTGAGTTATGAATAACACTATTACTATTATTATTATTATTCACATTACTACTAATAAAACTACAACTACTACTGCTATTGTTGTTAGTAATACTTGTAGATGATGCAAAAGTATTTTCATTTTGTGAAATGGAGTATATTGTTTTTAAACGTTTATTATCAAGTATTTTAGTCATATTCGAATTGGATGACTCTTTGCATGATAAAAGATTTTCATTTTTGATAAAATATTTTGTAAATTCTGTAAAATCTTTTTGTATTTTATCAATTTTTTGATTTATTTGTATAATTTCTGATTTTAATAAATTCATATGTTTCTGTGTTTGATGAAAGTGTACACCGAGTAGTGAGATGAGTTGATTGTTAATAGAATTTATTTGTTGTGTATCACAGAAAACATCATTCACTGGATTCCAGTTTGTCTCTGGATGAAAATATTCTCTATTGTTGACATTATTTCTGCAATAGAATGAAAATATATAGTTAAAACGCGGATATATTAAAGAATAAATAATTAAGACAAAGTTTTACACTTATAAAGAATAGATACAGGGAGAAAAATTGAGTGATAAACATATTTTAATAGTAGTTTATAATTCTCAAGGTCTAACAGACCTCTCATCTACTAGTAATTAAATGTTTCTGCAGCATAGAATATGAAAGATTGTGTTCCCATTTGACATGAAAGATTGAAGTTAAAACTCGATCATGACAAGATAAGAAGTCTATATTACAGTCGTTAATGGGTTCTGTGTGGATTGAATGTTATAATTAATAGCGGTCATAGTGTAATATGCCTAGTCATAAGTTTACTTAGAATGGAATGAGGTAAAATCTAATAAAATCCTCAGAAAACAAGTGATACACACATTCATAAGAAAGTCTTCTTACGAATGCTGAGGAACACTTTGAAGAACAGTTCATTCAGCCTGGAATCAACTTTCAGGTGTCGAAAATCCAATGTAAACCAAATCTGGATCCAGATGTTAGTCCTTCAAATCTTACTGAAACTGTGAAATTTGTTTAAAACCCGATATTAGATGAAGTATAAAGATACGACAGTTTCCTCCATAAACAGTTGGTGGTTAAAGTAAAGGAGCTATTATCTAGTGTATGAGGAACAGACAGCACTTTCAAGATGGACCTAAACATTGTTTACTTCAGTCTGTAAGATAAGAAATAAACACGTGTGTGAGAACCTCGGGAAATGATGAAATTTTATTAAATGTAGCTCCCCCACTCGTTACAAGTTTATATATTAAATATCCAGGGCCTTTATGTTGCCAGTTTACCCATATCAAAGTAAATAAAGCAGAATTCTGGGGTCCCATGGCCGGTACTTATTCGTCAACAGACCAGAGTTCGAGGCTAACTGAAGGAAGAAAAGCAGGCGAATTTCAAACCTGAGAGAGGATTAATTACTCTGTTTTCCATAATTTGACAGTTTTTGGGATAGAGGAACATATAAAAGCATTCTACAGTTATAATAAGGCTTGACTAACGTATAGAATTTGACTTCAACGATAGAAGAATGTTGTGAAAGTGTTTCATCGTGAAAAGAATACTGAATATGCGTATAACTATGATAAAAATTAGTTACACGAGATCATGCCACCATGTAAGCAATTAATTAATGCTGTCATACATGGTAATGACAAATGGAGGTGATTCTGTAAAACTCTGAACTCTGAGAGATAGACTTACTCTTTGATGATTACCTAGGTAGCTCAGAGTATAAAGACGATATAGTTGTGTCACGTGGAGATGCTGACATAATGTGGGATCTTGTGAATGCTCTGAGCACAAGATGAGTATGCCTAACATGCAATAGTTTGGTCTGCTCTACGTTTTAATATTTTACTGTCGGCATTTTGTCTTCAGGCCTGGAGACATAAGTTACGCTAACTTCAAAAAATAAGGTACTGAAAAGTCTGCGATAAAACATTATAGCTTAGAGATTATAAAACCATTGTCATCCTCATTCCAGGCTACACTTCTTTTCTATCATTATACAATGCCTGATATGAGATTTTCGCCATAGAATTCGTTTTTGTGTGCTGCTGTTAAGTTTGGCAATTTGAAGTTATGTACTTCTGTGCAAAGCAATGAGTGAGTTTGTCTCTGCTTGATGCCGTGACACTACTACGCTGGACTATGAAATTCATGATGTTGATTCAAAGACTGTACTACTTAACAGTATATGAGCATTCTATACAGACAATTGGGCTACAAATTAATTTACCGAAACAACTGAGAATGGGTTGATTACCAGGAGCGGTTACATTTTGTCAGATAAGTATGACACAATAGTGAAGAAATTCTGAGAATCTATCACAAAATATTTAGGAATGTTAGCACTAATTATTACTCACCTTATATGGTTACATACTAATTGCATTTTGTGCACCTTGAGTTGGTGGATGGATTAAAAATATAATTTCAACTGCAGCAGGATTTATAAAGGTAGGGTTCTAGGTCATCTAATGCCAACCTATAGATGCTTTTCGTGAAACATGTTAGATCTAAGGTTTAGATTAAGTAAGGTTGTAAGTGGAAAGATTGCAGAGTTTGATGAGCAAATCATTATCTTGGTAAACTTCTAATGGTTTCATGGTAAAAGAATGAAGAGAACAGTAGTCACTACCGAAATTGTCAGTTATGAAAGTGACGAAATATACCCATTTATTCATTAACAAGAACAGGGCATGTATCAGCGAAGAAATATTTCTTTTCAACGACTTCATTATCAAGCTGTGCAGTTGAATTTATACTTTATACTTTTTAGTGCAATTATCTGTCACTTTACTCAGTATAAATACGACTGTATAACTTGATAATGAAGTCGTTGAAAAGAAATATTTCTTCGCTGATACATGCCTTGTTCTAGTTGTGAAAGTCTTCAAGGATGTACGGCTTCTGATAAAGATTTTGTCAATCTTACTGCGGTAAGATTTTTTTCATCAGATACTTAGGGAATTTAACATTGAGAAAGTAGAAGTTCTTTTGAACGTAGAAAATTATGAATTATCAAGGTTTTCGCAGGTAGAAGAACTTGTCAGGAAAGCGTATCTACAACCTCCGGGAAATCGATAATCTCTCAGTGCTGTAAACCGACATCTCTTATTGCTGCCGTCAGAAATTTTACTAATAGTCTGTCTTGACCACCGCCAACATTTGATAAGATTAGAATGTGCTTTAATCCATCAATGGAGAGCCTTGAACATTAATTTGTCTAGTTCTTCTTGATTATAAAAAAATCATATTCCCAAACTAATATAGATAATATTAAATATTATCAGTAAGAATGATAGATGTTTATCTAATTTAGTTCACAAATGATAAACTGAAGGCAATAATCAGTTGTCACAGAAAATCTAACAAACTGCTAGTTTTCTCCTAACTGTTGGTTTAGTTTCAGTGACCAAATATCAACCAAAGAAAAGGCAAGATGGGATGATAGGCGAATTACATGAAATTACCAGTTTGTCCTATTTACGAGTCTTGTGTTTCGCTGCTTTGCGGAAATCCTACCCAGCATAAGCAGGAGAAAATATGTGGTACAATTAGTTCATAACCAATGAACTGAATAAGACCAATATGAAACCTGAAATGAATACGACTTCTGAGGGAGTGATATCTTTGCAACAACAAAAAACAGTGGAATTCACACGTGATGAAAGGGTGAAAATGAATACTGTCTGTGGTAATGTCACTGACTGCAACACTGGGTGACACGGGTCCAAATCCCTAAAGAGACAACAATTCCCTCACGGCTGCAGACATACCTTGCTGATGAGTGTCAGCAAGCATGAAACCTTGGTCCAGAGCTTTCCGTCGGTCGCCTCCAAACAAATAAGATAATAAAAACGTTTAATTAGTTATTTCTTTTACTGTCAGGGTGGCAGACATAGTAACTCCGGCAGTCATTAACCTTCCATATTAGATTTGTTTATTTGATTTATAACACATAGTAAGTGGTACAGTATCATTTGCGGGATGACATTTCGAGCGTAAATTATCAATGTTCATAATCATATCAATGTGATCACACAAATTTCTACATCTGATTATTATAGTCCTGTCTCCCATCTCATATAAATTTGTTTTTATTGCTAGTAAAATCTTCCATATCTCTGGTATAGGTGTTTTACCATTTGTATTACATGTGTTTCTTAGGTACGGTGTATACAGCATCCATATCACTCTACCATGCAGAGGGGAGTTGAATAGTATTATTTTGAGACGTAGGCTGACATCAGCCATTGAGAAAACATATTACGCGGTGAATCTTATAATTGTGGAAAAAACAAAACACATGCCCCACCAAAAACCTAAACACTGCGTCGATGATTACGTCACATTCCACTGAGTTTACCAATTTACTTTTGTGTGTGTGGCACACATACATTCGGAGGAGTAATCGAGTCATAGAGTTGAGGGTGGGAGAACATGTACTTAAATGGCTTCAAAAACAAACGGAGTGTGAAACAGTGATAAACGCTGGTGGGAGATGACCTTCATAGAACCAACCAAATAAAATAGTCTAATCGGTCAAATTCTATGTAATGACTACGAGGTCAGGTACATAGGTCAAACTAGCTCGACTGGTCGGGGTCAGTTAGAATAGCCGAACATGGGAATTTATCTAAATATAGAATGACAGACCCGAATAAGATTAATAATTTAGAAGAAGAGATCGGCTATTTCAGTGCCTGCAATAACACATAACCACACAATAGGGCGGATAAAACCACTGTACTTCGGTACAATATAATTAGGTGGAGAGAGATTGATTACTGAATCTTTGTTGATCGGATCAACACCCAACAGTGATATAGAGAATTTTACTACCAATAAAAACAAACTTATATGAGGTGGGAGACAGGACTATAATAATCAGATGTAAAAATTTGTGTGATCACATTGATATGATTATGAACATTGATAATTTATGCTCGAAATGTCATCCCGCAAATGATACTGTACCACTTACTATGTGTTATAAATCAAATAAACAAATCTAATGTAGAATCAAATTCTACAACAGTGCCCAAGTTTTACACTTATATTAATTATTAACCTTATTTTTTCATAATTTTACCAACAATTTCGAATGATATCCGATGTAAATAATGACCATCTTACCTGTATTCATCTTTAATTTGACTATCACATACTGGATATGTCCCAAGTGACGTTTTCATTTCACAAAGTTCATCTAATGAATGACACCTATTTTTTGAAAATGATCTTGACATTCTTATCTTGTTACAATGTGTAAAGCTTTGAAAAGAATTTGATGAGTGTGTAATCGAAAAGTTAGAGTAACAGTGTTTTAATATTTTGTTATTTTGTACTTCATAATCATGATCATTATCATCAATAAAATCATTTACTTCCTCACCATCTTCGTTCAATTGTTCAATGGACAGCATTTTGTTTGAATTATTTGTTACACTAGGGAACTCATTAGTTTTTTTCAAGTGTTTAGGATACAAATTAAGTGAATTCTGTTTGATAAGAGAAGTTTTTGTTTTTTGTGGAGATTTAATTTTTCTACTGAATATCTCTGTATTATCTTGTTTTTGAGTAGTTTCACAGTCTTCTGAATTATTTGTTTTAAGTCTAGGATTTATTTTAAACTGTCTTTCATTTACAGAGTTAATTTCATCCTTATTTTCATCTTCAAATGATACATTATCATCTGTTTCCTTCAGCAGGGGACATTTTTCACTTGTCATTTGTTGTGACTTTACACTGCTGTTATCTGAGTGTTCATCGACATTTGTACTTTTTGTATTGGAGACAGTAATTGCAGGGATAAGTTCTAAGGATGACTGAAGTTAGAAAGAAAAAAACAAAATGACATGAATATCAGAGGATATTAGATAAAAAATTATAGATAATGACAGTTTTATTTAATGGATACATTCTACCAATCGAAAACAGAAGAAATTGCAATAAAGTTTAGCATTTTGTATACTCAAATGTGGTTTAATTTCCTCTGTAGCTGTTTATGTGCTACTATTAAGTGGAATTGATTGAACAGTCTACTGTTGTACAAGATGAGTGTATTCTATAGAAATTGTTCCTAAGATTTGTAGCCATACCTCAAGATTTCTTTGAAGTTCAGTCATCATTGGCCTGAATTGAAAATTTTGGATAGATGAGACGTAACACTGAATTTCACTTTAACACCTTGTAAAAGGAAGTTTGACCATTTATGTCAATGTAAACATAATGAACATGAAGACAAGATGAATCTTTAAAAATGGACAAAGTTGTCTTTATTGTGAAGCACTTTTAAAACAGATGCAATAATGATAGGGAGTGAGGCTAAAAGTCATCCCAAGATGTTATCGTTCCTGTCATAGGTAGTGAACTTTAAAGGCCACTCTAGCAAAGATCGAAATAACCAATTAGATTTCCCCATTTTGGCTTGAAAGGTAGATTTTCATAAAATAGAGAAGTTTATTTGGTTATTTCTATTGTTGCTAGGGCAGCCATTAAAGTCACTTTATAGGTTGTAGTATTTTTTTGTGAAAAAGTGTGCATATTGTCTATTTTCCGTGTAAATATTTTACAATGCTGTTTACCATTGAATTGTGTTTCATGTCGTTTATTCATGTCGGAAGTATTGGTTGCACTTCCACTTCTTAGGTGGAATGGAGGTAGAGTTATTCAAGATGAAGAATATTCACAGATCACAGTGAGTATGTTGAGGCTTTAAATGGCAGCAATACGGATTTATGATTTCAGAATACATGCATTTTGAACAGAGAAAACACATTTTGACACAAAACTCTAGAACACTTGTCGATAACATTTTGCTTTACCCAATGATTGGTCAACTAATGACTTGAATTCATATAAGCCTTAGATATAAAACAATTGATTCAAAACTCTGAATACATCACCATTTCCTGGAAGTTTGCCTTTTATTCAGGTTATTCGTCTGTTACAAGTCATTAGGAATAAAGCTTAAACTTTAAGTCTTGAATTCTTGCAGGAAGTATGCTGATAGGGTTGTATTTATACAGCTTCCCATTATTTCATGTAATCTCCTTTTTGGTATTTTTGTCTTCCTACTAGGCTAAAACGTTTTCACTAAATGAACGGATTTGTGCAATCCAAATTGTCTCTTTTTCAGCAATCAATTAATGTGTCTGATCCAGTCCCACAGGAGGTTGATTATGGCTTGAATGGCGCTGTTGTAATACCTCTAACTGAAGCTTTCGGTGACTGTGTTCCAATCTCTCAAGCGACGTAAGTACACTACAAGCCGCAGATATACCTTGCTGGTGAGTGCTAGCAAGCATGAAATCCTGTTTTCCTTCGTATTCTAGACTTTTGTCCACATTCTTCTTCAAATACATGGTCAAGAATTCACTCGCATATAGAAGTGATATCTTTTAGGAAGGTAAGATATTATCAGTTTTGGACTTTATGACATTCACCGTTTAGATGCTTTTACAAACTCTGGTAGGGACTTGCTTATTCAAAGATAAAAACTTGCAGTACCCGATTGTTTCTTGGGACGAGTGATGTCTTCTGCAAAATGCTAGAACAGGTGATGCAAATTTTGTTCTATTGATTTGGATTAAACTTATGTTAATATAGTCAATAGAGGAAGTATTGCATTGTTATGTTTATACTAGAGTGTATTTCAGACTGGTTTTTCAAAGATGGAGGAAGCTCCTTCCAGTCATTCAACTGACCCAAGGAATGATTGTAAAGTTGCTTATTGAATCCATTGAAACATTCCACTTTCTATTTGTTTTATACTTTCATAAATTAAAACCTAACTTTTGCTTACAAAAATGTATGTCATTACTTTAACCTAAACATCTGGTGTTTTTTCAACTTTTTTCTCCACTTTACATTAATCTCCAGCATCAGAATAGTTATTTTCATGTTAAATATTTTCCAGTGCTACTACATATACTCTTTCCAATAATTACAAATTTTAGCAAAACGAAATCACTTTTCACTCAGTTAATTTGCCTCTTACAGATTACTTAATGCTTTATTTCTTCATTAGCCCTACTATTTTCACAACTCTTAGCTACCTATACACCACGTATGAACGATGAAGAAGTCTTATCCAATCTCTTTCGATATTATTAATGGATGGTGGCTAGCAGTAGAATTCAGGATGCAGGGTGTATACTATCTGCGACTTGTCAGCTGATTGTACCTGCCTCCTAGTGAGCGATGTTGTTACCACTAGGACTTGAACTCAGGATCGACCACTTAGAACTGAATCGAATCGAATCAGAATGGACTCAGTAACCTTGTTCACATTCGTGCAGTAAGCAGTGAGCTGCACCTAGTACGCAGCGGGGTTCGAACCCATGGCCTAATGTTTGAAAGTCATTTCTCTGTGCCAATAAGCCACAGCTACAGCATAGTATCCACAATTTTACAGTTCATACGTCACAAATGGAGTAACTGTTGTGACCGAGTGATCAAATGGATAGCGCTCTGATGTTTGAAGCAGCTGGCCCCGGGTTCGAGTCCCGGCAGGAACAACACAGGAAGAGGCAGGCAGATCCAGATGACGAGTCTCAAGTGGGATGAAATGCGTGTCCTGGATTTCGTCGCTAGAAACTATCCATCATTAATATCAAAACTGAATATACAGGGAGTATCGAGGCATTCACACAGAATCACATATACCAACGGGTGGTGGATCGATTCGGTTCGAACGACAACAATGAGGTATAAGCCATAGAACTAAGAAAGTCTTATTCAACCCCATTTTCTTATCATTCATCGAGTACATCATAAAACGTCCATGATATTTCAACCATAATCACCATCATTGTTATTTTGCTCATCCATTCTTTAAATTTCTTCACTGATTATAGTTTATAGATATCATGAATAGACGAATACTGTTGAAAAGAGTTATTCTCTCTATATTTCTTGGTTTTTTATGTGATGGTGGAAACTGCAAATTTATCATGTATTCCATTTCATTTTTGGTCCTCCATCTCACCGTGAATGAAAAAAATTGCATTCAGATTGAGTCTTGTCGCTATGCAGACTCCAACGATAATAGATAAATTAGTTAGATGCGAAATTTATCAAGGGATTTAAGATAATCTTTTAGCATGAAGAAAGTTGAAGTTTAGAAAATCACTTGGGATCGACTATTGCGTATTAAACTCCATTCGTGTTACTATCACACCACGCCCAAAATAACTTATAAGCATAGATATACCTCTCGGCATGACAAGTTTAACTCAATTACACAATTTGCGGACTCATACATGTATAAGAATAAAAATATTCTGTGAGAATAATTTATTTCTCTTTTCTGAAATATATCTATGAAGTGTTCGGTGTTGTCGTGATTCAAAGTTGTAACACAAACTTTATTAGTACATTACAGCATACATATTTAAGATGAATATGATAAAATAAATTTAAGATCCTTACGCATGATTGTGTTAACCGTGATGATATTCTTTACGACTGTTTATTCTTGAATAACCTCTCATTCCTCATCCCTTGCGAAGATTTGAAAGTGCTACTTCTACAATGTATAGTTGAGGCATACTTCATTTTTGAAAGTTAACACTTTTAACAAATTGATAGCATAGCATTTTTTAGATGGGACTCTATCTTCTTATCATATTGTGCGAACTAAGCATTTGTTTGAAGATGTTAGCGTAAGTCGAAGGCGACTTACAAGCAGTGATCACTCAGTAAGTGATTTTGTGCAATTTTTGAAATTAAACACTGATACGTAATTCTGGTTTCTTTGGTGATAGAGTTGAAAGCTTTGATGCTTGGTAATAGGTACATTACAGCTTATTATTGCAGTCTCGTTTCCGAAGAGCCTGAAGTTGCCTTCATTTTAAAGGATCACCTTGAATTAGTAATCTTTCGGTGCCAATCGGTTAGAATGTGTATTATCTGGGCAAATATGCATGGCCATGTTAGAAAGCTGAATCAACACTCTTTTAACTCTCATTGTGATAAGTTTAAACAACTAATTTTCTCCAGATAGAGTGATTTTGATACCTAAATTCAAATATGTATGAGGTAAACGTATTATACTTAGCTAGTGAAGTCATAGTTATCAATGTCTTTTCATTCGGTCTTCTTTATTTCCTTCGATTTTTGTTATACATATCTTTGATTTGTGATACTCGCATAAATGCACAAACAGTAATATCCAAGGAAAAAATTTGTCTATGAGTTCATCAAGATGTTGGATAGAAAATGTGAGAAGGTACTTATTTCATCTTGAAGTAGCAATTTCAGGCTTTTTGTGAGAATAAAGAAATGACAGTACGAAGTCGTGTGAAGTAATCTTCCTTCAATTCACTGATAAGATCTCTGAAATGTCGTAGTATCTCAACAAGTTTAGAGTGAATTATTTGCTGTGCTGAAATTTTATTTAAGCATCCATACACTTGACGACAATTTTTAGTTCATATGGGTGTCAAGCTCTGCACATGTCCGACGATGGATGACCTTCACTAGGAGACAAGCTTTCATCCGAGAATGGTTATCTTACCTACTTGATGTCAAATAAAACGACACCGCATCAAAAACTCACTTTTAATTTCCACACCATAATCTACAAGTTTTCACTACGGTTTAATATATCCTTGGGACTCCTTATTTTACAGCTGCTACTCTTTTGAATTGGTCAATGGACTAATGAATTTCTGAAATAAACCTGCCTTATTGGCATGTATAAGTTTTGCAGAAAAGCTGATTACCAAACTGCTGGCAATTTTTCGTTATCATATTGAAATTCTGCATTATAAAATTCATTCCCTCTTTTGTTCTTGTTACAATGTTGCACTCGAGTCTACTGAGGTGTTTTTAAAGTTATATTTGTTCATAGATGTTTTCGGCAGAAATATTGTCGACATCCTATTGTGGTGAATAAAAACGTACTTGCTATTCGTAAATACTGGAACTCAGCGACAGATTTTTAAGTGACTAGCAAACATAACAATAGGATTAACTTCATACTGTTTGGTTCAGTTCACTTCAATGGAATGACCTCGTATGCTTTCCAAATTGAATCCATCTGTCTATTCATCTGATGTATGGAGTATAGAAATGCAGAAGACCGTTGTCCATAACTTATATCATTGATTTAAATACTCACTTGGGAAGATGTTTTTCGAGGTTTTAAGAGAATATTGCGGTTCAGAGGTCTGCTACCTCTGACTGTATCACAGTATTTCCAGTTTGTCAAGACAAAATATATTATCATATCGAGGTGCCAGTTATAGCTATTTCCATCCTAGAGAGACTAAAGATGCTCTGCATTCAAAACTAGGACCGAAGCAGGCTGGCTGACTTCAGGAAGAACAAATCAAAAGCGAATCAAATTACAAGGCTACTTTATGCATCATCACAGGACAGAGCATAGAATGGCAGTCAACTGAATCTTTACCTCAACTTCATCGATTTTGAAAAGATCTTCGACAGTGTCGACAGAGAAGGGATTTTTCAACTGCTTCAACTCTACTATTTTAGTACCACAAGCCTTTATCAACCTCATTCAACAGTCATATGCGACATGATGATAATGCCGAGTGATTCACCATGGAAAGCACAAAGATGATGAATTTGAAGCGAAGACAAGAGAAAGACACGGCTGCCATCTACCGTCACCTATTATCTTCCTGATCGTGGTGGACTCGAATGGACTGGATCACGCAACCGACAGCTGAGAAGACCGAGGAGAGGGGCATATGCCGTTTGACCGATGAAAAGATCCTAGCAGATTTGGACCTCGCCAATGATAGTTTATATCTAATGTCTCACTAACTCGAAGATCTACAGGCGAAAACCAACAAGTTGTCGGAAGAGTTGAGGTGAGGTGAGGTGAGGTGAGGCGAGGCAGCGAAGGAAGACGTGACTTCCTTGAGGTGAAGGTAGAGGGGACACAGGTGATGAAGATACCCCACCAACAACGACGACGACAACAACAAGCACCAATCACCATCGGTGGGAGAAATCTGAGGGAAGTAGTCTCTTTCACCTACCTGCCCACCTACCTACCTACCTGCCTACCTGCCTACCTGCCTACCCAGTCAGCATCGTCTCAACTACAGGCTGCACTGGCACAGATGAGGACGTCAATGCCAGGGTAGGAAGGACAACAAGACAGACAGGCCTTCACTGACCTGGAGTCAGTGGGGAGATCTACTGCAATGCAATGCACTGCACTGCACTGCACTACAATCAGCATACAGTGTGAACAAGATCCCGATTTTCAACACTAATGTCAGTCAAGTGAGTCAGTGCTTCTATGTGATGGTTGAGAGACTTGGTGTGCTACGAAAAGCATTTCCAACAAACTACAGACATCATAGATCAACAGATGCCGACTACGCTAGCTCACTCGAGACTGACACTGAAGATCAGATAGATGGCCAGATTAATAAGATTAGGCAACAAGGAACTCTAGCTGGCTGGCAAGGAACCAAGAAAGAAGCTGTCACCCAAAAAATATGCAGAAGGAGGTGGAGATAGATTGAACTGGGTATACACTGAGGAGACGGTTTTTGGATATGACGCATCAGGTCAGGCGAGACCAGGTGGTCGAGTGGAAGGCAAGTGGGAAACGACGAATTGGGCGTTGTAGTGTGTGTGACATGGAGGAGATGGTGTGAGGAGGAGATGAAATGTTATGTGGAATGTTGGAGCTAGTTTGTAGAGACTGTAGAGAAGCGAATGGAATGGTGCCGTGTTAGTGAAGCTCTATGTTCCTCTAGGAACTCAAGGGACAAATAATAATAATGATAGTATAAATAGTTATAATCCCTGACTATGTGAGATACCCGTGGCTTGGTAGACTAGTATTATTAATACTAGGTAGTGATTGAAGATGAAATAAAAACCTGGGCTGTGGCAAGGTTTTAATTTCATCCTTAGTCATTACCTAATATCAATAGTACAAGTCTGCCAAGCCAAGCCAATCTCAGATAGTGAAACTAACAATCAATATGATGTTATCACCCATTAATTCAGCTCGTTTTCGTTTATTTTGAGAAGCCCTGGCTGGGTAGTCAAAGTTAATGCGATGAGGGGACAGTGATACATCATGAATTCATATACCAGTCATCCAGAACCCTTGATGAGTGAAGTGAAATTACTGTAAAGTTCGCAGTTGACTGTAGTAGCTCAGTTGGTAGAGCACCGGACTGGTAACCCTGAGATCACTGGTCCTCCTTCAATCATCACCTAGTATCAACAAATAGAACTTAAACAACAAAAATAAGAGAAACCATTGAAATAATGCAGAAAGTGTGAAGTTAATGGAAAGAGGGTGGATAAGTCTAAAACAAATATGTTACAAGCTTCCTTGTTGATACTTACTGTCACCTTTATTGCATATATTTTTCTTTTCTGAACTACCTCTGCTGTATTCAAAATAGGAACTAGTGTAATATGGAATAAGATATTCACATAAATTACGCTTCTTTGTATACAGTATCTGGGTCAACTAATTTACTGGTACCTTTTCTTAACAATAAAAAAATTATCAGTAACTTTTATAAATCATAACTTACTGCTACATCATATCCTGCTCTCAAGTTGAATGATAATTCTTCAGACAGTGCCAAAGCAAATTGTTTTTTAAATTGTGGATACTGATCAAATATTTCTTGTAATTCATGATCTAATGCTATACATTGTAATTCACAATATGTGAGTGATTTCACATTGTAGGCTGAAAATCCTAAGGTGGGTAAGTCATCCATATCACTGCCAAATATATCACATTTGCCTAAAGGTATGCAGAGAAAGGAATGGAAAATGAAGTCAAAGTGCTAAATGGTATTATTTACGTGAAATCGAAATAGTTTCCATATTAAAACCTATTCATAAAGTTGCGACTGTGTAGTTGAAGAACGTCTAAGGTAATAATGGATACTAAATAGGAATTCTTGAACGCTGATTTAGTGCTTGATGTTATTGTTTATGGGTTTATACCCACGATCCTTACAAATCTTATAGAATCTTCATTCTGGAATTCATCTCGCATTACTCAAAAGGTTCTTGGTTGATTATCTTTGTTGTTGTGCTTATTTCCTATATATTTTGTCTGCGAACAACGTTGTGGCCATATATGATGTGTTGTGTAATACTAAGCATCAAATGTAAATTGAGGGATGAGGTAAAAGAGATGAGTTAAGCATCTAAATAACTGAGCCACAGATTTATCCTTTTCTGTCTATAAAAGGTGTCTGCAGAAAATAACACAATGTACTGATTTATTAACATATATTTTGGAAGATAAATAATGACTAATATAGTAGTAAAACTTGGGTACTTTGGTAGATCGCAATTCCATTTTAATCTGTTTATTAGAAATGTCGCACTTTTCGGACACAATTTATTGTCCATACTCATATCATGTAACTAACTCCACAATTTTGAGACAGAGTTTATATATTCCTAACTTTTTCTCCTTCTCTGTGATGACAAGGGTAGTAGAACCTTCCATATATCTGGGACAGGTGAAGAATCATTTCGGTTGCATGTATTTGGTGTTGATTCGATAAACAAAGATTCGGTCATCAATCTCTCCCTCACCTGCTCCAACTACGTTACTTTTTAACGCTGTCGCCCTATTCAACCCCACTATGTGATTGTGTGTAATTGTATGCATAGCATTAGAGGAGCTGTTCTCTAAATTTCTTAACTTATTAGGGTTTACAAATATTGATTTCGTTAAGTTTTACACTCTGTTATTCTAATCGACCTTGGTCGACCACTGTGACCTACGTATCTGACCTCTCAGTCATCGTAGGGGGCAAGGACAAGGACAATAAATTGTGTCCGAAACGTTATCCAGTAAGTGATACTGTCTCACTGTGTGACATTTCTAATAAACAGACTGAAATTAGATATAATGACTGTTACAAAACAGGGGTTACTGTTGGTACTAAATTGAAATGTCTGTTTGATTTGTCCTCAAATAACCATGAATGCAAGGAAGGATTTCACCATCTAACAGAAAATGAAGTCTCTAGGCGAGGTAGTTTTGAAAATAAAAGTTGAACCTTACCGAACGAAAACGTAAGTTGAGATTTTTTATGAGTTTATGAGTTAATGAAGTTAACGGCTCCAGGTGGCTTTCATCTTTTAGAGTATCCGTTTGGATTCACGAAATATAAGCAAAGGGTGGTGATAAAACTGTTTCGACAAAGAACATAGTAATCCCTTTAAATTTTCAGTTGGTTTGAATATTCGTTTGTTATTGAAGATGAATGCAGTCGTTCAATATAGAACTAACAGCATTTCAGCATGTAAGTTGACTATTCATATTCAACACTATAGCTAAAATAAAAGCTAGCAAATCGGCACGGTAATTAAGGCTAAATATCTATAAAACTGCTCAAAAACGTTTGAGTAATGCCGATAAAACTTCATGCGTGAACTAATCTTTTATGAACTTAAAAGGAGGAAGATAAAGAATGGAAACAAGATAGGAGGGATGTATTTCATTTCGGTGGTATCTTGTCAACTGCTTACAACCTACAATACCGAAATGGATAATTTTACTGAAAGTTTAACATACTTTAGTTCATTGTAAGAAAACAGAATATTGGTCGGTGGTTAAGACGGACGGGAGTAGTTGTAGAGTAAAGTTCATTGACAACGGCAAGTTGAAGCAGGGTTAATAGATGATCGTAACTGCAAAACATAGCAGCCTAGAACTTTCCTTGCAACCAGGTAAAATCTTGTGTATCAGAAAATATGACTTCTAGTCCAGACAAAAGTCTACAAGTACCCTTCTGATGCTACCTTCAGCTGTGTATATCAATTTATGTGTAGCTGCCGAAGCAGATACACTTGAAAAAAAAGAATGCAGTAATTTACATTTTCTGAACACGTTCCGAACAGTCTAGGGTTGAAGGGATATAACACTCTGAACAGTGCAAGCATTCAGCATTTGATTAGCATTGGACATCAAGTAAACGTTTTCAATTCCTTTAAGATAATAAACAAGTAGATTATGTCAGTGGTCCTGAAGTATCCTGAGGACATAGCCACCAACCGCTTGAAACCTACCTTGGTAACCCTTCTTGACTGTTATTTGATTACATCATTTTTTATCAACTTTAGATGCTTATTCCTTTATTCTTATTTAGTTGCGTCATCTTTTTTTCATATCCAGTGTTTTTAACTAATTGAGCCTAACTCGTAATATTTTGCCAATTAATCGTATGACCTACTTACGTAATCTTATGGTGTTAAGTTCCTCAATATTTTGGTTGCCAATGTTGGCTTTATTTTTATTCGAGAGACCTCCATTAGATTATTTATGCAGTCATAACTATTTAATAACCCTCCCTAAATTTACCGTTGTATATGAACTTTACTCTACAACTACTCCCGTCCGTCTTAACCATCGACCAATATTCTGTTTTCTTACAATGAACTAAAGTATGTTAAACTTTCAGTAAAATTATCCATTTCGGTATTGTAGGTTGTAAGCAGTTGACAAGATACCACCGAAATGAAATACATCCGTCCTATCCTGGTTTAACTGTTAATGTTAGTCTTTTCAAATATGTAAAAGTGTGAACTTAATGAGAACCGAGAATTTAGACATCGAAGTATCGATGACATATGAATTCAGGGTGATTGAATAAACTAGTTGAAGATTTGTACTACTCTTGAGTAGTTAAAACGGCTATAAAAAAGTTAGATATTTGCAATTTAAATGCTTACTGTTTGAATATGTTTTAGTGAAGTGATAACGCTTCTGCAAACCTTGTAACCCAACGTCTTAGATTTCAGTTCTCAACCGATTTTTCATTCATGAATTCGATAATCTCTTACCTATTCAAAGGCTTCCTAAATATTTTCATAATTCAATAAGGCTTCATGTACTTACAACAGTGAATAGATCGGACTTATTTGTTGCTCAGTAAACTGACATACCAGAATAAGATCAGTATGTGTAAGTATCAGTTACTTAATTCTATGGACCTCATATCTCGGCTGGTACAGCATTGGGCCGGAAACTCTGTGGTGGCTGGTTCGAATCCAGCTGCGGTCTAAATTTTCACTTCACCTCCAATCATCACCCAGTAAAAAACGTTAACTATGAGTTTATGAATGAAATTTCGGGGGAATTACAGTGACTTCGTACAGTTCTTTTCATTTCTAAGCTGCTAAAGAGCATTCAGAAAAAGTGTAGTAGGATAATAAGAGTACTTTTTTATTATTTCGAGTAGTCTTTTCAATTGTTTACAACTTAAACAGTATTAGTATGTACACATTACGAAAACTGGACATACTTTTATCATGTATCAAAGAATTGATTGACAACATCACAAATAGTGTAGATGAATATTAATGTAAATAGTTAAAGTAGAGATCGCTAGGAATGTACGAAAATTTTTGACTATACGTAGGATCCTTAAAAGCGAAGCTTCAAACATGGAAAGAAAATATAATCAGCTACAAATAGGAGTTAATTACCATCGACTGTACTACACCTGCCATAATTTTTTGAATTTACAAAAGCTTGGAAATGGGCAACATTAGGATAAAATAAGGTTTGAAACAGAACGAAAGATTTGAAAGACAGGATGATGATAAAATATTACGGGCATATTTTACAGTAACCTCGCCTGGTTAACTAGTTCACTAGTTACTAGCCGGTCCTAAGCCCCTATAAAGAGGGAAGGTTGGGCATAGGGCTAGCAACCCTACCCCGTAAAACAAATCTAACCGCTAAAGAAACTTCAAAGCACAAACAAAATATAAAAAATGAAAACAAACTTATACCCCGCTGGAATCGGAGAGGCGAAATGACGCCAGTTGGTGAAAGCCTTCGGGAAGCCAATTGACCGGGCCGAGGTGTCTTCTCTCGATGAAAGCGAAAGTAAACGTGGGGACATGGAATGTCCGCACGATGTTTGAACCCAGTAAGGCAGCCCAGATTGCAAACGAGATGAGAAGGTATCACATCGAAGTGCTTGGGATTTGCGAAAGCAGATGGAATGGGAGTGGACTCTCCAAACTGTCAACTGGAGAATCAATAATCTACTCCGGTCACCCAGACGCCAACCACGAGCACACTGAGGGAGTGGCTATCATGATGTCCTCAAGAGCATCGAAGGCTCTCATGCAGTGGGAACCAATCTCCTCCAGGATCATGACAGCAAGATTCAACTCAAAAGGAAGAAAGGTCACAATCATACAATGTTATGCACCTACAAATAATGCAGAGCAAGAGAAAAAGGAGGATTTCTACAGACAACTTCAATCAACACTGGACAAGACGTCAGTTGGCGATATCAAAATTCTAATGGGCGACATGAATGCCAAACTGGGAGGGGACAATACGGGAAGAGAACTAACCATGGGTCGAGAGGCGCTAGGTGAAATGAATGAGAATGGAGAATTGTTTGCAGAATTCTGTGCATTCAACGATTTGGTGATTGGAGGCAGTGTGTTCAGGCACAAAGATATCCACAAAGCGACATGGACTTCACCAGATGGACACACTAAAAATCAAATCGACTTTATCTCAATCTCAAGAAAATGGAGACGCAGTCTACTTAACACAAGGTCAAGAAGAGGAGCAGATGTAGGTTCAGACCACTATCTAGTGCAAGGAACCTTCGAAATCAAGTTAAAAGCCTTCAAGGAAGCTGGTGATAGACCTCAATTCAAGTACAACACTCGGAAACTGAAGGATGAAACTACAAAGGAGATCTTCAAAGCAGCCATCAAGACAAAATGGGAGATATCGAGGAACATCCCTGAAGAAACCTGTGTGGAAGAACACTGGAAGTCTTTGAAAGCTATGTGGAAAGAAACCTGCACAACAGTATTAGGAAGGAAGAAGAAAGAAGACAAGGAATGGATCTCGACGGATACCTGGAAGCTGATAGAGGAGAGGAGGATGGTGAAGCAGAAGATAAACCAGTGCAAGGATGCTCAACGACAAGAGGAACTGAGCACAATGTATAAAACACTGGATAAAGAAGTGAAGAAGAGTGCACGCAAAGACAAAAGACACTTCTACGAAACACTGGCAAGTGAAGCAGAACAGGCTGCAGGTAAGAGAGACCTGACGACATTGTATCAAATAACCAGGTTGCTATCAGGGAAGAGACCAACACAGATGAAACCAATAAAAGATGAAGAAGGAAATTTAATTACAAAAGAAGAGAAACAGAGGAAACGATGGGCCGACCACTTCAAGAAGCTCTTGAATCGACCACCACCTGCACTTCGTCCAGAAATACCACCTGCAGCCGCTGAATTACAAGTGAACATAAATCCCCCAACGAAAATGGAAGTCCTGAACGCCATAAAGCTACTGAAATGCGGGAAAGCAGCAGGACCAGATGGAATACCGCCAGAAGCACTGAGAACAGATGCAGAGACAACAGCGGACATGCTCACACCACTATTGCAGAAGGTGTGGAAGGAAGAGAAGGTACCTGACGATTGGAAGAAGGGTTACCTTGTCAAACTGCCGAAGAAGGGAGACCTCAGTGCTTGCAAGAACTGGCGCGGAATCACTCTCCTGTCCACCCCAAGTAAAATATTAAGCCGCATCATCCTGGAGAGGCCTAAAGACGCACTGGATTCAAAACTACGACCGGAACAGGCAGGCTTCAGGAAGTACAAATCATGTGCTGACCAAATTGCAACGCTTCGTATCATCATAGAACAGAGCGTAGAATGGCAATCAGCTCTATACCTCAACTTCATCGACTTTGAGAAGGCCTTTGACAGCGTCGACCGAGAAGTAATTTGGAAACTGCTTCAATACTACGGAGTACCGCAAACCTTTATCCGCCTCATTCAACAACTATATGAAGATGCCACATGCCAAGTAATCCACAATGGGAAGCTCAGTGATGCCTTTGAAGTGAAGAAGACAGGAGTGAAACAAGGTTGCCTACTATCCCCCATGATATTCCTTATTGTGGTGGACTGGATCATGCAGCAAACAGTAGGCAGCGAGAAGAGGGGGATACACTGGACGACGGAAAAGAACCTAGAAGACTTGGATTTCGCCGATGACTTGTGCCTAATGTCACATAAACTTGAAGATCTGCAGGCAAAAACTAACAAGTTGATAGAAGAGGCAGGCAGCGAAGACGGGACTTCAGGTGAATATAGAGAAGACAGAAGTGATGAAGATACCGCACCACCACCATCAACAACAACAACAAACTCCAATCACCGTCAACGGGAGAAACTTGAAGGAAGTAACCTCCTTCACTTATCTAGGAAGCACTGTTTCAACTACAGGCGGGACGGACGAGGATGTCAAAGTCAGAATCGGAAAAGCAAGACAGGCGTTCATTAGCCTGAAACCAGTGTGGAGATCTTCTGCACTCAGCATGCGGAACAAGATACGGATTTTCAACACCAACGTCAAGTCAGTGCTCTTGTATGGTTCAGAGACTTGGCGCGTCACGAAAGGTATTTCCAATAAACTACAGACATTCATCAACAACTGCTTACGCTCGCTGCTGAAGATCAGATGGCCAGAAAAAATAAGCAACAAGGAACTCTGGGAACGAACCAACCAAGAACCTATCACGCAACAAATATGCAGGAAGAAGTGGAGATGGATTGGGCATGCACTGAGAAGGCCGACGGAGGACATCACGCGTCAGGCCCTCGAGTGGAATCCCCATGGGAAGCGACGAGTTGGACGTCCGAGGGTGACATGGAGGAGGTCATGCGAGGAGGAAATGAGAGCTTCTGGGCTGTCGTGGGACCAGGTTCAAAAGATCTCAGAGAACAGAGGTCACTGGAGGCGTGCTACTGAAGCCCTATGTTCCACTAGGAACCCAAGGGACTAATAATAATAATAATATTTTACAGTAAACTGCAGTCACCAGAATGATGGGACGTCAACAGGTATATCTTATTTAAAACTTTTGATGCTTACTGCTCTAGTAAAACGTATTAGGCTTGAACATTTTAGCCTTCTGACCACTTTGAATGATTTGAAGCTGTTCCTACTGTGTTTAATGCCAGTCAGTTAAAACAAAATGGCTACGGGAATGTCATGACTACAAGCTGTGATCTAATGATATTCACCTAATTAGGTGGTTTATACATATTACTGTATTTTCAACCGGCTTTATTGAATGACAGACTGTTGCTTATGGGTATTTATTACATCTAGTCAACTCAGAGAAAGTCAACTAGACGAAAAAACTACTATTTGGAATTCTAAAAGGTGAGCGAAAGTTAGGTGAACATATTTGTTCAAGAAATAACGTTAAATAGTTCCAAGGTTATAAAACATATCACGTTTATTATTTATCACTTCTCAGCAGTCAAAGAAGGAACATGATACTTAAAAAGTATGGAACTTGGAAGATTGTATTACACTGACTGCTATGCAGTAGATGTAGGTTTTAAACACTTTAGACACAAATTAGTGTCATAATAGTGTGAAAAATGCTTCATTTGTAAAATCTTGTTAATACTTACCTAGCAACCCAACAACTGTACCTTCTTCACCTAATATCTCCAGTGAACCGCTGCATACAAAATAAATAAATCTGAGTACATCACCTTGATTAACAAGATATTCACCAGGTGTAGCAAAACGTGTAGTTATCAGTTGTGCTAAACATTTTCGACAACCAGGACTTGCACTTTTAAACAGACTCAGTGATAACATTTCACGATTCAAATGTAAGGCAATATCTCCGCGAAGATTTTCTGGAAATGATCTCATTATCTGTCGTTTTGTTAATAAAAAATTAGAAAAACGATGGAAAAACATTATTAGAAACATATAGAACATGTTATCATAAATAAATAAACTATTGCCAAACTGTTATTTAATCACCTTTGAATTGAATAAACGCTTACGTGTTCATCATGTCGACTAGGTGAAACTGGAGTGATAAAGACGATGTTTATTCTTGAAACATTAATGTTTTCAAGTGCTGAAGAGCGAGTGGACGTTGAGTACGCAAACTATGAAGTTAAACATGTGGAATACAAAGGCGTAATCTTGAAACTTAAATTATAATCTTCACTACCTTGTGTTCACTGTATTTCTGTTTGAGTAACAAGCTAGCATTATTTGTTCTTAGGTAACAGATGTTGTTCGCAGTCAAGTGAATAATTCTTCACTCAACTGATCATTTGTTAATTGTTCTGTCTCTTCAGAAGTAAGCTTTTAAGCTTACTGAGTTATGTAATTGACTTCAGGTCATAAACTTCTGAGCTGCAGTCAAGTAGTAGTGAAGTTAAATTTATTATTTATTTAGTTAGTTAGTTATTATCTTACAAGTTGATTTTTCTCACTCGCCATGTGTGACATAGACTGTTAATATCCTGACTTCATAAATCATATACTTAAGTAAATAATTTCAATTAACTTAGGAAAACATCCACTTTTTTTTAACCCTTCCAAACCAGACTTAAACTGATTCAGTGTTACATAACTGGAGTCTTACGATATTTTACTTAGTCTGATAAGAATAAAAAGCACAAATTTTTCTGTTCATCGTACTTGTAATTAGCTATGCGGTTTAACTAGATAACGAATATTCTTGCGTTCAATATGTCTTGACGGGGTGATAATCCTCATTTATATCTCGGTCTCATTACAAGCTCAGATAGTATTTGTCTATTCTTCAACGTTATTATCTTTGTTCAATTCGTTCCAGATAAAATTTTCATCCAGTCCTACAAGAGAACAGTCATGAATCGGATATTTCAGTAGTAACATCTTTGAATGCAGCACTGAGTGATGTCAGTTTGAATTTGTCAGGTGACATCAATTTCTTCAGGTTTGCGGATACACGCTGCTGACAATTGGTTAAGAAGCAAGAAACTTAGATCCACGGTTTTCAACCAGTTGCCTCCAACCACCTCATAAACTGTAGTTCTATTTGTGTATCTACTAGTATGTAGCAATGCTGTATCCTACATTCACTGATAGTTTAACTTCATTACATCAGTGTATTCTGTTTCAAAGATGTTTACAATAATGTGTAGTAACTTCGCTAGTCAGAAGATCTATCTGGTCCTACAGAATGATGGTTATGTAGACGTAAGATAACAGCTTTCCAACCTGTTAAGAATTCAGTTAATGAAGAGCACTCTTCGTTTACTTTAACTTGTGATGAAGAAAATGCAAGTGAACTACGCTTCTTTGGTAGTTCACTCAGCAGATATGTTTACAGGAAGACTATGTCTATAGGCAAGTTCACATATTTTCTTAGTCACCTGCCCAGTCGTTACAAAAAAGCCTGGTTAGATGCCTTACTAACAGAGCGAGAGAGAAGAATATGTTCTGATGATTTAGTCTATAAGGAGTGGGGATATGTTGAAAATCAACTGATCGAAATGAACTATCCTCACAGCTTCATAAAAAGACACGTGCACAAAGTGAGGGGGAATAAACCTGGATAAACTACTGTTAAAAAGAAACCGGAGTTTATGAAACTGCAATTTAATAGAGATGTAGCCAGATAATTTTTTTATCAGAGGCTACTTACAGCCATTAAGAGAACTCTCTACTCTGCGCAACTCTATGGGTCATTCTCTAGCCGACTAATTTTTATTACCTATGCAAAAGATATCTAGTTCTGCCATTAGCTGGTTTTCTGGAGAAACAACATATGATGCACTATCGAATAATTTAAAGATTTGTTGCTGGGAATCGAACTTCATGCTCTGGAAAGAAAAGGGTAAAATCTATCAGGAATCTTGTTTCATCTCATCTGGTTGATAATAACCACTTGGTAGATAAGAAAAATGCTTTCAAGATTGTTCCCTGCATTCCACTTAATCTTTTGAAAGGTATTCGGACTCGTCTTTTACACATGGCAGGAGCTGTGGGAATTCGAGCTAATAATCCTAGTCTTGTTGTGCAGAAGACGTTTATGCATCTCTTATCTCTCCCTTGGTTAAGGAATACTTAAAAACCAACTTTATCACTGAAATTTCTCCTATTCCTTCCTTATGCTTCACTTCTTTCTTATTACCTACTATATTTGCTTAGACTTTGTTTGTTCACTGCTTTGTCCTTCGGTATTACGAATTCCTTATTTTCACGAGCTTTTGATCCACTTTTATTATTGGAGTGTCAACAGTTTCATGCTGCTTTCTTGGTTCTTATCATCACTGTCATCTATACTGCAAGCGGTTTAGTGAACGTTATCATTTTGCTACTTTTATTATTATTACCATGGTTATTTTAAAACATCACATTAATGTTGCTACTTGTATTATCCTGTTGTTGATTGGACCGTATTGACCGGTCTTGAGTTCAAGTCCTGATGGGAGCAACATAGCTCAGTGGAAGCCAGGTACATCCAGTTGACGAGTCCCAAATAGGACGGAATGCGTGTCCCGGGTTCTATTGCTAGCCACTATCTATCATTAGTTTATCTAATTAACCGGTAAATCTACGTGACTGGTCTAATTTTTTTGTATTAGAGCAAAGCCTGAAGACGATCTAATTGGAAACAGTTCTGTTCACCCATATGCCTTCTTCTAAGAATTAACGACTAGATTTTGATCACAACTGAGTTCACATATTGTTTGGTATGATTAAAGTTTAGTGTGCAGCAATGCGAAAAAATTTAGCCATATGGCTGCCAAGTATTAATTCAGACAGTGAGAAAATAATATAATTGGTAATTTGTTCAGTTTTCTTTTTCTTATCTTTATTTCCTGTTTCATCATCATTTCAGTTACATTACACTCCTTGTAATCTATCATTTTTCCAAGGCAAAAAAATGGTTTTTTGTCTGTTGTATCTATCGATTTATGGTTTCAGTCAAATTAATGCAGTATGCGCTGACCCTTGTAGTACGGACTAACGGGTAATCCGATTGCATATATTTTGTAAAAGAATGTGTGGCTGTTAGAAGAATACTGTGAAACTGTTGTATATTGACAAGAATTTTTATGCTCTATACAAATGCCTTCTGATTTCACTTTTTTACTGGTGAACATTTCCTCAATGCACTGGGAATTCTCTCTGATACAGTATATGCATTAGAATAGATGGATTGTTGAACAACGATTGATGTATATCATTGGACAACTAGGTACATCAAAATTAGTTATCTCCTATTTGAAAAATAATTTAAAGCTTGAATTAATATTTCTTTTACTGCTGCAACCTGTGCCTATGTGTTGAGTATGTCTAGAAGAATAAAAAACTATGAAGGGGATTTTGCAAGGATTTGTGGGTTGTACGATAAATATTTAGCGTAAAAAGAATATGCTCATATATCCTTGTCTTTACCAGTTAACGCCTTTTCCCACTGTACATTTGTGCTCCCGAAAAGTGTTTTCCGACGGCAAATATGTTTTATATTCAGAGTAAAATTATTAAAAAGAAGAGTTATAATTTTCAAACTTTCCTCAGGTAAGTACTCTTGATTTATAGTCTAGTGCTAGGCAAATTTGAGACGGTCAGTAGTAAAGTTGCTCCTAACTCTAAAACTGACTGTAAACCAAGGTAATATACAGCTCTCTAGCTGGAGAAGCAATTTTCAATATATCATATTGACCGCGGTGACTGGTAAACTAATCTAGGACACACGTTTCATTCTATTTGGGGCTCGTCAGCTAAATGTGCCTGTACTCCAGTGAGTGATGTTGTTTCTACTGAAGCTGGATCCCAGTACCCTTCGCTTCAAACGCCAGAGCGTTGTCCACTAAGCCACTGGGATACGACAGCCACCTCTTGCGGGAACGAGTATAAGTTTTTGTAATGATCCTTGTAATTTCCCGTTTCTATACATGGTCGACTCGCTCAACATCTATTGATAGAAGGGCTCCAATGCAGATGCCTCGATACTGCCGGGTCTTCGTGATGTTACATTAATTGTGGTAACTGGTGGAGGAATTGAAGACTCTCTGGCTTTTGAGTTGAGGGGCTCTGGGTTCAAGCCTTAGTGTGAATAACACCACTCACTGGGGTGCAGGCACATCCAGATGATGAGTTCCAAATAGGATGAAACGTGAATCCTGGATTCCTCTGCTAGTCCCCTGAATTAATATAACACCATGAATTTCCGTCAGTATTGAAGCATTTGGATAGGAGCCCATCTGCCAACAGAGGTCGAGCGATTTGACCCCGTTTAGTAACGGGAAATCATAAGTATCATTACAATCTTCAAGATAGCTTAATACATGGTTTCAAATAACTACTGCTTTTAAATAGGTTGTCGTGTAGTAAGAGCTGGAATAATGTTTGGACTACCGCTAACAGTAATCGTTCATCGTGAGAACGAGTTCGGGAAATATATTTTTGATCGTGCGGTTGAAAAGGTTTTGGTTATTCAGCTTACGTCAGAGAAACCACGAGAAATAAGGACTTTCCATCTTTTTGTTTACCAAAGCATGCTGAAACTATAATGTTTACAAAATACTCTCGTGAAAGGTAATTGGTCAGAAATAAGATATACTAAAATGTTTTGTTCCATGCATGGTTAATTACAACTTTAACGTTCAGTGTTGCCTGAGAACAAACAGTTTAGGAGTATCTACAGAAATCTTATGAACCTGAGCTCATCATTTAAGTGATCCATCTGGAGACAGTTTGCAACGTGAATTGAGATCAACCAAGGGGAACCGCTACTAATGGGTTTTCAACTAAGCAAAAACATTCATTCATCGTCTCTCGACTTTAAGTGATTCTCTAAGTGATTTCACCTGGTAACTACTTTGCAGTTATTTGACTGCTGTAAATCAGTAAGTCGACACAAGTGACTTTAATCTAGGTGGATTTCTGGTGGTGCTAATAAGAAATTGACTGCACATGTAGTCCATATAAGGTTAGGAGTAAGGAAGGATCTTAAGTGACAACTGTAGAGTCAGTTACTATGTACTGTTAACTTAAGAAAGGTGAATGTCAGGTTTTCGGGTGCATCTCGCTAACTGAGGAATAATATGATCAACATGAAATCTGACTATACTGGGTTAAATCTTCTATATGATCGTGGATGTACAACATTCAGTTGTCTTAGACTAGAAGGAGAATGATTCGTGACTGTTTTTTCTGCTTCGTTCCATGATGTCTTATATGTGATGTAACCTTTTACGCAAATAACAGGCACTGTTTGACTTTTGCATATGCTCACTTCACGTAATATTTTCACTTACTAGTTTTTCACAATTATTTGTGACATTTTACCATCTAGTTCATCAATTCTGAGTTTCCATTACATTATTGGAAATAGAAACCAAGATAAGCAGAGAAGTATAAATCCAGACACTTACCTATTCACAGATATGGATGACTAGGTGACTTTGAAAAATAGGGTTTATTTCATATTCGTTTATTCTCATTTAGGACCTCTCAGAAATGCACACCCACTACTCCAATGGGGATCAAGCCAAAGATCATCAGATCTTGCGACATAACGAAAGTTGGAAAACAGTCATTAGATCTCAACTAAGTGACTGAACAGCGAGGCTTGACGATCCTTAGTTCGAGCTCACTTGCACTGTTGTTGCTGCACACTCCTCAGGAGTCTCAAAATAGAGCGAAATAGTCAACTATCGCTGGTTGGTTTCCTGATAAAAATCGAAATCGACTTGGTTCTCACAAAGCCACTAACTAAATTATTCACTTTCTAATGAAATTATTTGTTAGATGTGGATAGCTGTGAGCTGTTGGACTGGTGGATAGTAATTACAGTCGAGCGCGCACACAGTCTTATTCGTTTTCATCAAGTGCAAATAATGTGACTTTTGTGCTTTAAACTATTTCAAAAATTATTTGTTCCGAGGAATTGGACGAAAAGTCTTGAACCTGGGCCTCATGCTTCATTGGCACTCTTCAGCAGGATGTGTCTGCAACCTAGAGGGAAACAGTTTCCTCTTTGAAGTCCGAACCCACACAACGAGAGTTACAGTTAATGACGTTACAAATGAGCTATGCCAGCCTTGATTGGTTTCCTGTAGGGCAGGATCGAATGAACTGATCACTCACTATAGAACAACAAGTCAACATACTTCAGAAGTGCTAAGCATAGAGTTGCTCAACTAGTATTTACACAGTGTAGTGAAACTGTTAAAAGTAAATTTTTCGTCACGTGAATTCAAGTAGTGAAATTAATTTTCCGTTATATCTTCCAAGCAAGGTGATAGACTTAGAATGAGTAAGAAGTTATAATAATTATTGTATCAAAATACTTTAAGCAAGATTGATCAGAAAATATTCTAGTGGTCAAATTTCAAGGGTGAATTTCTTCGCTTATTAAAACCAGCTTAGCAGGCATGGAAAATCCTGGAGGGAAGTAGGCAGCCGTTTTGTTTTAAGTGATGACTCGTCGTCTAAACACAGTCGTGATCTCGCAAGTTATCGGGTTCAGAATTTTCGAGTCACATGGTGAACACATTATGTTTCAGTGGTTAGGCTAGACACTATGGGTCCAAAATTTACTACTTCTATGAATTCCTGAAGCAGCTGTACGATTGTCCATCATCTCTCGAAACTATTCATTCTCACATCCGACTTGGTTGACTTCAGAGTTCACAACATCCTTTTAAAACTATCAAAAATATTCTTAGAAGGAAATTACTTGTAGAATGGAAATGTTAGTGAAGACAGGAGTAAGACAAGGCTGCCATCTACTGTCACATATTATCTTCCTGATCGTGGTGGACTCGAATGAACTGGATCACGCAAACGACAGCTGGGAGGACCGAGGAGAGGGGCATATGCCGTTTGACCGATGAAAAGATCCTAGCAGATTTGGATCTCGCCAATGATAGTTTATATCTAATGTCTCACTAACTCGAAGATGTACAGGCGAAAACCAACAAGTTGTCGGAAGAGTTGAGGTGAGGTGAGGTGAGGTGAGGCGAGGCAGCGAAGGAAGACGTGACTTCCTTGAGGTGAAGGTAGAGGGGACACAGGTGATGAAGATACCCCACCAACAACGACGACGACAACAACAAGCACTAATCACCATCGTTGGGAGAAGTCTGAAGGAAGTAGTCTCAATCACCTACCTGCCCACCTACCTACCTACCTACCTGCCTACCTGCCTACCCAGTCAGCATCGTCTCAACTACAGGCTGCACTGACATAGATGAGGACGTCAATGCCAGGATAGGAAAGACAGCAAGACAGACAGGCCTTCACTGACCTCGAGTCAGTGTGGAGATCTACTGCAATGCAATGCACTGCACTGCACTGCACTACAATCAGCATACAGTGTGAACGAGATCCTGATTTTCAACACTAATGTCAGTCAAGTGAGTCAGTGCTTCTATGTGATGGTTGAGAGACTTGGTGTGCTACGAAAAGCATTTCCAACAAACTACAGACATCATAGATCAAAAGATGCCGACTACGCTAGCTCACTCGAGACTGACACTGAAGATCAGATAGATGGCCAGATTAATAAGAATAAGCAACAAGGAACTCTAGCTGGCTGGCTGGCTGGCAGGCTGGCAAGGAACCAAGGAAGAAGCTGTCACCCAAAAAATATGCAGAAGAAGTTGGAGATAGATTGAACTGGGTATACACTGAGAAGACGGTTTTTGGATATGACGCGTCAGGTCAGGCGAGACCAGGTGGTCGAGTGGAAGGCAAGTGGGAAACGACGAGTTGGGCGTTGTAGTGTTTGTGACATGGAGGAGATGAAATGTTATGTGGAATGTTGGAGTCTGTTTGAAGAGACTGTAGAGAAGCGAATGAAATGGTGCCGTGCTAGTGAAGCTCTATATTCCTCTAGGAACTCAAGGGATGAATAATAATTATAATGGAAATGTTATTCCAATAATCAGGGGACTGAAACTTATTCCATATTGGCTTTTGCAGAAGCCGTAATATATATATATATATTTTATATATACATATATATATATATATATGTATGATCTACAGTCTCATCTTTTACATTTCAGAAATATTGGACATCAATTTCCAACTGATGTTAGTTCAGTATTCTTTTATTTCTTTGGAAACGATTACGAAGTTAGAAGTCAGTGATAACTTGAAATAAATTTCATAGTTTTTTCATAACTTGCTATTGTCATCCAACGAAATTTCAATAGATAATTAGAAGTTATAGGACTCTAGAAGGGCCGAATATTGATCTTTTTTATGTTACAATGAAGCTTAGAGGAAGTGTATTCCTTTAGATGAAATATCCTTAATTCAAGTGCTTTAACAACCATAGGTTTCATCACTACATCACTATTACAGCCTATTTTGGAGTAAAAAAAAATAGATATGTTAAACTTACAGCATCTTTGTCAATACCTCGGTTGATTGCCCACATAGCTTGAAAAAACTCCAGCATTCGTTGTTTTAACGGTTTCGGTATATGATGTGCACGTGTAAAATCTTTTAAATCTTGATTTTTCGTCTGATATGCTGACCGGCGGGAATACATACGTTGGATGAGGGTAGTCACATTACCGAATACTGCTGCATGCATTAAAGCTAATGATAAAAATTTAACAAAGAGAATATGATGTCTTAAGCACAATATAGGAAACACATTAAGATAGTTCAAAATTCTTAACATGACTTACCAATTGTTCAATTTAGTTAGATTTTCCCAGTGTTACGTATGCGTATATCATAACGAGGGTTTAAACGCCAATTGGATTCAAATAAATACTGTTTTTAAAAATAACTTTCACCTATATCTGTCATCATAGTCATAACGAAGTATGGGACACCGATCTTTCATTGTGTCGAACGGTATTCATTGTCGATCTAATTCAGTTAAACCTAGAAGTCCAATATGATTTATGACGGGATTTAGACCAGAAAGACTTTAATTTGTTTTATAGGTAGTATTCATCAAGGATTGAAATCAGTTAGGGGACCATTGAAAACATTAGAGCACTGGACAGCTATTTCGTCATAGTACGGGACTAGGCAACATGCACCCATGACCCGGTCTGGGATCGAACTCAGAACTTTCAAGTTCCACGGCGAAGGCGTAACGATCCAGCCATTGGGTCGGAATTCAAGGGTTCACAGTTTCCAACTTCTGTCAATTCATAGTATATATAGTTTATAACCGTTATATAACATTAGTCTGAACTGCTAACGAAACCTTGATTTTTCTGACTCTTACCAGAGTGATGTGTCAAGTTGACTAGAAATCATCTTTGTTGTTAGCTAAAGGCTGTATAAATATATGACGTAAATGGTTTTGAGATGAGTGGAGTCATGGGCATTAAAAAAAATCAGTCTACATTCTGGAAGAAAACAAACATATATTCATGAATGGAGTTTATGTTTATTGACCAGTTTTTGTCGGTTGCTAAAGAGATAGGGTAAATAAATATTTGACTTTATGTGAATTTATACAATTATGTTGTAGATTAAAGCACTTGATTTGCCAACATATTATCTAAGATACATTTATCTTAACAACTTCTATTAGGAATCGTGTCTGCAGCTGGGAAATACTGAATTGATTTTAGATTCCAGTTAAAAGATTCTGAAATAATACTTTATCTAGGAAGTAAGATTTGAAATAGTAATTGCTGAAAGACACCCATTAAAACGTGTTACGGTTGTTATTCATCTTAGACTGACGTAAGCTGGTTGTTTCATATTAAACTGTTGACATTATAAGTTATGGATTCAATGCTTCCTTTTTTAATAGAGTACTTCAGTCCTAAGTAGAAAATTGTTCTAACAAATGTTACACACATCCCGGTGAATATCACTGTCAAACGTTTGCTTACGCTACACCTCAAGAACTCTGTTTTCCAATAAAGTAGGAAACTTTGAAATCAGATCTAATTTACATTGATGGTAGATTTGTTCTAGCTGAAAATCTGAATCAGAAGTTATCGGAGCAATGGTTAAGTAAAACAGGGTAATTTGGTTAAAGTTTGGATAGTTATTGACAAGATTATGAAGTTCTCCCGTGAATTTGATGCCAGTTAAACTTTACAACTGTTTGTCAAGTGGTATGTAGCTATTTTAGAAACTAAATTAAAACAATAAAACTGGGTGAAAAGTTCGGCTCCTACTAAAAACAGTGATGTGGGCTTTTTTGAAATTTTACATCCTTGAAATTGCGGAAATTCCCATTTCAAAGAACCTACCTAGAAGGTTATGGGGAACTCAGCGTAATTGCCATTATTCAGTATTCAGTATCGGAACATAAAACTCATAAGAAACGGTGTGGTGGCAAGATAAAATATAAGTTAAAGGAGTTGAAGCTCAACATTAGTAGTGAGAATCACTTCATATAAATGATTTATTTTGACAATGACGGCAAAACCAAATAAGTGAATGGATTAATATAGCTTGAAATGATGGAAAGTATTTTCAGCTCCGAATAAAGATGATGGTGGTCCAGTGTTCTCTCAGCTTTGATATTTTGTAGTCCACGATTCATCATGAAGCTTGGTAACATCCTCAGTACTAACTTCTATTAACAGAAACAATCGATTCTTATACAACTTCTTCCAATCCAAAGATGTAGGTTCGCACCTGTTAAACTGATGTCTGAAAGAACTAAGGTGTGCGTTTAACTCTGACTTCAGATTAAATAACGAAATCTACAGCTAAACAGATGGTGTAGCAATGGTATTGCCTCTTGAACGTCACCTTGGTGACTGCTTCACGGCTACACTTCAGAATAGGACATTACTGCCAGCAATTAGTCAACTTCAGGTATACAGAAGGTACATGGAGGATACCTTCATTGATTGTGATGACAACCTAGACCTGATATGCCTCCTTCAAAATTTCGATGACAGCTACACTTCAGTCAAATTTACACTGGAAGCTAAATCAAACTTGACGCTTCGTTTCCTCGATGTCAGACTTCAAAGAAAGCCTGGTAATTCCATTCAAATGTCAGTCCAAAGAAAGTTCACTTGGAATGGACAACTGATCAGATTTCAATGTTGGGCACTCCTAAGTAGGAAGAAGAATCTTGTGAGCTAACTCTCTTCAAGAATAAAAAAGATATGTAGTGGTGATACACTTGTTCAAGAACTAGAAATCCTCCGAGGAATACTGTAACAGATTGGCTACCAATCCATATTTATTGAGAAAAGTATGAAATAAAAGAAGACTATGGGACAGATTCACGTAACTTCGAAGAAAATACTTATAATGGGTCTCCAGTTCAAAAGTGATATTACCGCGGATAGCATTTGTTGACGTTTTTAAAAATTTCCTAAATAGGACGTTCAGCACCATGAACCCTACTATTGTCTTCTGAAGTCAACAGACGATTCCTCAGTGCATGAAAGACAAGCTGGGGGATTGGGTTTTATCAAAGTGTATTTACAAGTTCACCTGTCCCCGTGGAGCCAAGTGCGTCGGTTGTTCTATGCGTTCGCTTGAAAAACGTGCTTGTGAACATTGCCCGGTCTCGTGGCTGAGAGTTGGGGACAAAACCATCTTCAGCGACATCGTTGAACGTCTCGCAGACTCTGTTCATTTGGCTGTACTGGAAACATCGTCCAAAGTTCTCTGTAAAGTTCTACCAAACCATTTAAAAGGGGTGGGATTAGACACTTATGTGAAGCCGAAGCGGTGGCTATTCACAGCTTCAAACCTCATTTGTTTATACTAAAGGAACATGTACAAACACTTTTTACTTTGATCTTATTCAGGTACTCTGCACTTGTGTTTATATTTCATTTTGTAATTTATTATTTGCGTTTTACTGCATGTTTATTTATTTTTACCCGATACGTAATCCTACTTTTCACTGTATTTCATAAAAACTATCAAGTTCCTGTCTTGTATCAGGTGATATAATTTCATGCCCTTTGTACACCAATCGACTAAGTTTGAAGTTTGACCGGAAACTTGTCTGGAATATTCTTTTATTTTACTTATATGTTTAGGACTGTAATGCTTAGGAAATGAGTCGTCGAAAGTTTATCTTCTCTGTAAACTCTTTTAGTTTTTAAAAACTATATGACCAACAACAAACACAGAAACGAAGAGTGTTTGTTCTTTACAAAAGGAAGTGATAGGAAGTGCAGTTGAAACATTAAATTTGGCAGGGAACAAACTTAGTACATTGTTTTTACAACAATACTAGTCAGAATATTAGGCAACTTTGGAAGCCAAACACAACCACATTGAATAGGATGAGTACTTACTGAAATCAGTCTCAAGAACAAATGCCATACAAGTATGTGGACAAGTCTAGAGAAAATTTAGCACCAAGTGCAAATAGAAGGTGCTGTTTGTTTTTTACCCAGGATTCTTAAATAGATTTAGAGCATTACTCTGTATATTTTCAGATTGCAAAGTGGTACCCAAATGTGCACCATAAAGTTCATTTGTAGTCATACAAATTGTTGAAACGCAGAGGAGATGCTTAAAGGTAGTCTAATTCCTAAGGTCAATAAATTCACTTCTTACGGTTAAGGTACACTTTGAAAAAGAAAGATTTTCCTTCGCTTATAGTAGTCGACTTGGTTGAGCAACTCATCAGAGAACCAACAGTGATCTCTTTCAAAAATAGTTTATATATTAGGGACAAGTGAACTTATCAGGAGCTTACCATTAAGCTGTAAAAGAATCCAAATATCCACGCACAGTTAATGCAAGCAACATAGTGTCAATCTATAATGTTTCAACTAGAAGAAAATAAATTCTATGTTCACTTTGGCTAGGGAAAACTCGCATAACCTACACTAGATTTCAAGTTTTTCAGTGAGGCTACTTTGCAGCAAGTACCTAAATACAATTTGAAAAGGAGGCAAAAAATGTGTATATTTTTGGAATATATTTAAGCGGTCCGGTTTCTTACACGACTGAGACATCAGTGAACTGTTATTTTGAGCGTCATGTTGTTAAAACTTCTTTACTGTCCGCTGTATCATAATTCAAACAATTTTTCATCATTACTAGTTATAGCTTTCTTGTGTTGCAGATTTACCAACTCAAGTTACTTTTGTTTTCCAGGTAGGAACCTAGATATGAAAAAGATATGTTGGATTTGTTTTGTAGGTTAATTAACGTTCAACCTTCGGAGACGTGGCCTAAGCTAGAAAAACTCTTCAGACGTATATGCATGGGCGTTTTACGGTCTATAAACAGGTTGTTATTTCTTCTACAGGTTTCTAGCAACCGACTGAAGAAATTTAACAGCAACTAGTAAAGAAGAGTATCGTTATTCCTACCTGTTTTTGTTCCCTAGGAGAGATTACGTTTCATTATAGTGACTGAATTAAATTGTACCACTTTTCTGAATGCTCCCTTTAATTGTCAAATGAATATGCAGATGAAATGATTGGTAGATGCCTAAAAGTATACGTGGTCATGGTAGAAAGAGGAAGTGATTGCGAATTCTGAATTTTCAGAGAGTTGCTTGAATTTTAAACTTACAATGGATGATCGAGCAATCAAAAATGATTCATTACAATCTATCTGACGAAACTCAGATGGAATCCACAACACAGTTATATGTAATTCAACGTTTTAGTTCAAACACTTTTCGCTCGTATAGGACAACCACTGAAGTTATGTTGGTCGGGTCATCTCATACAGCCGAAAAATGACTATTCATATGTCACAGGATGCACAGATTAATCTCTTACGTTAGAGAGACAGAGAGATCATGAAGCACATGCTGTGAATAAAATTATCAGTCGTAGTTGCTTTCATAAAGTCCTATGGATACCAAAACGTTATTGGGTGCAAACACTTTCATCTTCAAGCACCAGACAGCTTCAGAACGTTTGTGCTGATGATGTCTTCTAGAATGATAACGAGAGCTCAACAAGTAAACAACTCAAAATTATCCTCCTTATCAGCGAATATTCTCCATCATAAATAAAATGCTACTGTGTTTTTGACATTTTCTTTACATATGTAAGTTAATTTCAGGTTAGTACACATCATGGACTAACATCAGTTAGAGAAACACTAGAAAACTGAGAACACTAGAAAGCTGTTTCGTCCTAGCTTGGGACTCCTCAGCAATGAATAACCGTGACCCCGCCAGGGGTCGAACCCAAGACCTCCAGTTTCCGCGGCCAGCACGTTACCATTGAGCCACTAAGTCAAAATCCAATGGTCCGTATTCCCTGTGGATGTACACCAACCTGAAAGGAGTATATAACTCCCCATAGACCTCAAAATTGAATTGATCAAGTGCTCATTGGTGACTAGTTTCGAAAGGTGATTCCCGAAGTTTCAATGAGAAGTCGTGACTAGTGTGGCCAACTGACTCGAACATGAGGGCAGTTACTAAACGACGACATTGGGTGTAGGTCGAAGTAGGGAATGTGGACCATTAGATTCCGACCCACTGAGTAAACGGTAACGTTCTGGCCTTGGAAACTGAAGGCCCTATGTTCGATTAGTGATGGGGTAATGGGTCCGCTCTGCTAAGGATCCCCGTACCAGGACTAAACAGCTGCCCAGTGCTCCCAGGTTTTCAACTTTTCCCTAACTGATAACAGCTGATGATGTATACCAACTTGAATGCAATAAATAAATCCCTACAAACCTTGGGAGTGAAATGTTGGTTAATCCAATTTTTCTAGGCAACATCTATTTATCATATTTTATTGATAATATTTCTATTATTTGTCAATCAAATTTGCTGATGAATTCGAAAGATGATATTGTTTTATTTTCAGTTATAATGATCTTTCAGTCAGTTTTGATAAATTGCTTACTTAATTGACATAACAATGACATTTTGAATTATTCAGTGATTAATTCGTTAACTTGTTTCGTAAAATGGCTCAAATAAGAAAAAGAGTTTTGAGGAATAAATCTAGATTTTAACAGCGATTATGGTATGATTAATAGACTTTTAAGATTGCATCATGTTTATTAAACTTGATGTGCGTTAGATAGATGGGATGCTCAAAAACATCATTATAAAACAAATTTTAGGCCAATCGCTTCATTTGCTTATCTCAAAGTTTTAAAGTTTTAAACTTGTGCGTCTCTTGAATCTGGATCATGCTCTTTGAAGTTTGTGTTATTTCAAATCTCCAGATGGAAGAAATAATGCTTCAAAAGTACATAATGTGAATGTAAGTATCGACTAAATGTACGTTGATGTTTTACAGTAGTGTGAATTGATTTGGAACTCAGTCGTATAGTATGGAATAAACCGAAAACTATATTGCCATCTAGGTCGCTAATAATAAGTCAGGCAATTGTTTAATAGTGCAGCACTTTTTATCATTCCCCACATGTTTACACCAAGTCAGTATAAGAGAATAAACTACTAAGACTTAAGCTTGTCAATTTACTGTTGTTGTGCGGATCCTGGGTCTCACTGATAGCAACAATCCGTCATTAATATAAGAATAGATACCTGTTCACTTCAGCCGGTTTTGCTTCTAACACCTGAAACGTCTAACAATGAATTCTTTAATGAAAGATTCATCAGTTAGGCACACTATCATGTTTTAATTCATAGAAAAGAAAGCAGTCATCCTCCATGAAAGCAGATAAGTTGAATGTACTGATGATACTAAATTTTGATAATTTACTTGGTTGTGACAAGCAGAAGAATCCTGGATGTACCTGCACCTCAGTGAGTGATGTTATTCCCATTGAGACTCGAACTTCGTACCCATCGTTTCAAACGCCAAGGCGTTATCCACTAGGCCACTGACGCACGACAGCCACCTCTAGTGCAATGGGTCGAACAAATCGATTCCGTAAATCAACGAAGAATTACAAAATATACTAAATTGTATAAATACTCTTCTGAGATACTTTACAAACTGTTTACACATTTAACCGTCCAAGTTAGCATTTCATACACACCGCAGTCAAACTGTGGTGTCAACGGGGCTTTTATTGGGAGCCACCAGGCATAGATTACATAGCGTAATCACTCATATATAAGTGTAGTGAAGTAATAAAATATCCTACAGACGAATGTCATCCTCACTAAACGATTTAGCCATCTAGCAATCACAGTTCACGATTCATCGTGAAAAATTATCAATAACTTCTCTTGTTTTAGTTGAAACAACTTCACTTACTGCATTCCAGGTGCATCCATTTGACGAGTCCCAAAGAAGATGAAAGGCATATCCTAGATCTTACTTTTAACCCCTACCAAGCAACTTACAAAATAATGAAATAATTAAAGCAATAATATAACTTTTATGGAATTAAGGGTGGTTCTCAGTATTGTATTTCTACAGATAATGCTTTACTTTTCATTCATTTCTTGACTGGACATTCCAAAAATTTGGAATAATTTAGAAAATGTATAAGTCTAATTTATGCACATCAAATATTTGACATTTATCAATCATAAAGTAGTTTTCATTTTGATCATTAAGTGTCTGTTCCAGAGAAATAAATTAGATGTTGATTTATTATCCTGCTGACTTTGAAGATTAGAAGAAAGTTTAACTCATGGTGAAGTTACTCGAGCAGAATTTCTTTTACATACTTGTGCAAAAAACTCAGCTCATTAAGCATATCTTGTCTTTACATTGGTTCCGATCGAGATATAAGACCCAGTTGTAAACTAGGTCCTTAATTTACCTATATCATAAATTCACCTTAGTAGTAAATGTTGTCTGCAGGCTCAGACATTTGTAGTTTTTTACTTACAGTCTAGTACTTTTACCTACTAATTCAAAAGAATGCCATGCAGATTCACAATAAAAGCTTTGAACATTAGGTTAATTATACAGGTTTGGTGTACTATTTTCGTGATATAGGAGTTATATAGGTGATGATTAAAGGTGAAATGAAAATTTGAACCGCGAATAGATTCGAGCCAGCGACTACAGGTTTCCAGCCCGATAGTCTAACAAATGAGCTACGAAGTCCAACTGCTGACCAGATTTTTGTTTCACTTAAATCATTAGGAGATTTTCGCCGGACTACCATGTGAATTCGTGGCGCGTTACTACAGCCTGATCGTATTCAGACTGGCTGCTTGGTCAGGATTTCTCATCCCAATCTCAATCCCAATCTAACTGAATCAGAGAGAGGGAGTGTCATATTGATCATGATTCAACTGTCTGAGATAGCCGTAGTTTGGCAGGTTGAAATTAATTAAAAATGTGGTCAGCAGTTGGCCTTGTATCTTAGTTGGTAAAGCATCAGCCAGGAAACCCAGTGGTCGCTGGTTCGAATTCAGCTGCTGTCGAAATTTTCATTTTACCTCCAACCATCACCTTGTATAAATATCAGTCTGCCAAACCACGGTTATCTCAGACAGTCAAAATGATAGGGTTGTGTAATATTTTAACTAGAATTTGGAGTCATTTCTATAAGAGCAATCGTAACTATGATTCGTTTACTAACACAATCTAGTACTTCCAATTAGTCCGAAGTATTCCTGAGAACTTTTCACAATAAACTTAACCAACAGTAAACGCATTGTGATTATCAGCCTATATTTATAGCAGCTTGGACATAATGGTATCCGTAAGGATAACCAGCAAAATTTTAATGTAATTCATGATAGCGTAGGATAGGAGTATCTTGGTTGGTTCTTTAGAGAATCTAGGATTTTATCGGTAGAATAAATTAAAATTTTTGAATTGGTCCAAAAAGCCTTCTCCATACATTAAGATCACAAATCTTTGATGAGCGTAAGTCCTCATCTTCTGTTTGTTGATTGAATTATGCCTATGGAATCAAGTTAGAAGATAAATGATTTTAAGTTAGTTACAGATGCATTGGAATATGATTATTTCAGTACCAGTTTTGAGTGATAAAACAGTTTCATTTCCAAGGAATTTCAGCTATGTTTTGAGGCAGGTATGCGTAACGTTTCTCGTTTTTTTTCACTATTCTAGTTATATCAAAGAAAGATATTTCAGTAAACTTTTCAACTTCATCCCTATTATCTGAATGCAACACAAAACTAGGAGTAATCCAATTAAAAAAATCAACTAATTTTGAAAAACATGAACTGAATTGGTATCATTATAGTGGGATTCTTCGTAGGATTAGCTGCGTTTTAGTGTATTGCTGTCATTAGATCAGGTAATTAGATCCTTATATTCTGAATAACTTGACCTACTGACATAGGACCATACTGGTTCTCGATTCTTGAAGTTCAGAACAAAGAGAGAAAAAGTAACTTATTCACCATTTAGATAAATCAAATTTTGCCACACTTAAGATTTTCTTCTTGTTCAATAATACATTGTTTTCTGACTCTTATTCTAGTAACACACACATTAATGATAATTGTGTCTTTTCTCTCTTCATAGACATGAAAATGATTGTAAAAGCTTCTTGAGGAAAACTCTTTTCACAATAATTTACCTCCAATTAGCATTGTTATAACAGCAAATATTTTCTCATTCACTGTGTTCGGTGATACATTACCAAATCCAACACTTGTCAAGCTGGTTGTTGTGAAATATAAACTGGAGACATATAATGCACGTCTTGTTAATCCATTAGTTTTGTTAGTATTGGTATTGAATGATCGACTCAATTGCATTCGTTCACCTAATTCATAAAGCCAACCTATGAAATAAAAAGAATAAGTAAAAGAAGACGAAAAGTACATAGGGAATATCAGATAGTATGTCATGAAGTAATTTAGTGTTTCATATATATACTGATTATCATTATCTTGGCGAGTGACAAAACGCTAACTAAACTTGAGAATTTTTATATCCTTGCAATCGAATTATGTATGAATCTATAATTCGCTTCCCTACTGAAAGTAAAATCTATCTTAGTCACCTAAACAGACTTTACGGCTGATGAACCGAACTAATCTGTTGAATGCATATGATTATCTAATAATATTTGTTTGAATGATCTGAAGGTCACTGAATTCTAATTGGCTGGATAGCATATTTAGGAAAAACTAGATGTTATGAGTATCTGATTGCTAAGTGATGTTTATTCAATTGAAGTTCACGTAGTGACCTGATTTAAGAAGTCAACTGAATTCTAATATAAAAAGTTTTGAAGCTGATTCTAAGATAACCTGTTCCACTCAAAATGAAAACGATTTAACTTTCAGTGATGTTCGAGGTTCCCTTGCATGGCTTTAAACCATAAGGTCATTTGGAAACTTCAATTAAGAAATGCCCGTAAAAGCAAACTGATTTGCCTTTTTGTGTACTATGGTGCTGTTGCATACCTTCACATAGTAAAATGTCTATTTAATATGGCTGGAGAAAAATTAGAGATAAACTTGACTTCAGACTGTGTTCCAAAGTGGTACTGAAATCACAAATGAAGTGACCACCTGAATTACTTATTAGTATCTTCTTGTTTTATAATAAAATGATATTTTTGATGAACTAGTTCTTTACGCGCCACCTTGTTTGGTGTGTTCTTTGAAGTGGTCTGCCTTTGACTATTCAATTTTCTAAATTGGTGAAATTCAGCTACGAAAAGCCCTCAGATCATTTGAGTAGAATAACCTTTACAAATTTTGGTATTCTTCTGTAAATTCATCCACTTGTTAGAGTAAACAAACAAATACGAATACATAATAAATTTGAATCAATGCCTAAACATTGAGCTACTATAACGATTGATGACGACCATTCTATGTTTATACACTGATGTACACGTTAAGGCAATCCACATTTGGGACATATATATCAACCTATCCAACTTCTAAGGTGACTGTAGTGGTCAATGCACTCAGTCCCTTGATTCCCTATTACTAGATAGAACAATGATGATGACTAGTCCTGGAGAAGTAATTTGCATTTGCATAGTCGAAAATGCATCTGACAGGACTACCAGTATCCCATATGTTGCCATGTAAATTTAGTGTGATGTGACTGACATTAGTGACCATTTATTCGTCCATGTTTTCTGTTGAATAAGTAATTTTGAGGGTAGTTCCAATTAATTTCTTCAGTTATTGTAATATTTTCAATATTTGTTTGAAAGAAATAATGACCACTAGTATCAGTCACGCTACCTAAAGCTTAAGTTGCAATATGCCGGATACTGTCATTGCTACTCATGGTGCTTAAAATCTCTTCATTTGATCACCAGTTAGATATCTTTTAACAATGGATTGGATTTAAAAAGCCTGCTAAAAATACTGCTATAAATTGAGGGAAAGAATCGTAAAAAACCAAAGATCATGATGTTTGAGTTGAGGAAATTTCATTAATTGTGCACATAAAGAAGACAAAGTATACTGAAGTAAAGATATGATGACATATTTTATACTAAATAAGTTTTACTATAGACAACTTTATATGAGTGAAATGAGTTTACATGCACTAAACCAGGAGAAGATAAAAGGTACTGTGAACACCCTACCTTTAAACATTTACACAAATTTATATATGGACAGTGTTAGAAGCGTTTCACTTCTGAATGGCATTTGAAATATATGTATTTGTTCAGTGTATATACACAAATGAAAAGAGTATGGGCGATCTCCTTTTTTATGTCCTCAGTGCTTGGACCTCACTTTACTGTAATTATGCATTGTTCATATGTGTCATATCACCTCTCAGTGACTGCCTTGGTTTCTTCTTACCTTGTTGAAATCTTGGAAGTTTACACTCATTCACCCAATCAATCACTCTAGACTGAATGATTTGACTTTTATTCATCTTTTCTTGGACATCTGGATTTTCCGATATAAGGATACCTTCTTTATAACCACATGACATTTTATACTGATTTCGAGACTTTATGATAGCCAGTGCTATTGGAGACATTTCGTAGCTCATTCACAGTTGCAAAAATAAAATTAATGTGTTTTATTCCTTATATTTTGTTCTTCTTTTCTGATACATTTAATTTACTGGTTGTTTTAAAGTCAGTTCACATGGATCAACTTACTATATTCCCGTGTAATTTTTGATCGAAGCTCCTCTTTGCCAATACAATACCACCCACAAGCGAACCAGTGAGCAACCAGAAAAAACATACACATTAATAGCCCTAGTATCACAGTACTATATTGGGAATAACGTTCAATTTTTTGAAACAGTCTGGCTAATCGAAGTAAACGTGCCAATTTAAGTAGGTGAATCCAGTTACCCTGAGAAGAAATAAAGGTAAAACACGTGCTAATACAATGAATAAAACATTATTTTAACAACAATTACGTAACGTAAATTCAAAAAGGGAAGCGTATGGTATGCTTCAAAATATTAACCAGACTTCCGTTAGCCCATAATTTCTTTGTACAAGCAAATAAGCATTACTGTGGACAGCATAATGACAATATTTATTAAACGAAAGACGAAGGTTATCCTCAATATCTACCTTGTACAGTATAGACTCAATATTCCGTACGGAATACAAGTAAAGTGTGTGTTGATGAGTGAAGAAACGATTTATCGGTAGATCAGTACAATAGAAACAATATAACAGGGTATAACTTAATTTTAGTTCCTTGGTTAGATGTATGTCATAGTGAGACAGGAGTAAATTACTGATCTTAAGACACTGTCCTAATGCTTATTCAAAAGACACGTGAGTTGTGTTTGCCTCTTCTATTCCTTAATTATGCTTTCAATGACTATACGAACACAAAATCGGTATATAGTGTGATGATTCTGAGAGAAGCAAGTAGTTATTATACAGTCGGTGTTGCTGAAGGTAGAAGAAAAAAACATAAGAAGGAATTTTAGGAGCAGCAGAAAGTGAAAATCAGCTTTTTTAGAATATATAATGAAGAGACTATTTACACGAACTGTTTAATTTAGGGTTTTCATATTCTGCTAAGTTCCAATGTAGTTTTTTAGTAAAGAATTTCACGAATCATCACCTGTGTCATTTTTAAATATTGAGGCATGAATTCAAGAGAATGTGGAGTATGTTACAAACAGCTTACTTAAGGGTGTTTTTTAATCCCTAAAGTTATTCGAGAAGGTCTGCATCTCCATGTCAAACCATTTAAAGTAAGTTTTCTCTTTCAGCTGACAAGTTTCGAATTGCAGGGAATGTACTGCCTGGATTTTACTGCTGGTCAATATTGATCATTTTTATCAAAATAAAACTACAGGCGATACCAAGATATCCGAGCAGGAACCCATATGTCAATGAAGACCGATCAGTTCGTTTTAACTATTGACGGGACATTACAAGCAATAACATACAGTGATAAAGTATTTCGAGAAACAGACTATACTGACTAATTTCCCCATAACAGTAGTGCCAGTTATTCGCTTCCAGGGATTTCAGAGTTAACTGTTCCCATAGCCAGACAAGGTGAGAAGAATCATATAAAATCTCTTGAGAAGCAAATACTAGTGCTTGCTGAGGCTAAATACGTGATTTTCCTGAGTGATTAGGAAAAATGGTCCATCCAGTACACTGTAGTGCAATTTTTGAACAAACACTCTACATATAGGAAATGTTGACTAATTTGACCAAATTACTCGCAGAAAAATATTCATATATTTATAAAACTGGAATATACCTCATATATTACATATATTCTGAAATTCTACAACAGAAATTCCTGTTTTTAACCTGAAGGTTCTACAACGTTTATATCACCGAGTTTCCGCTTATACTTTATCAGGGTGTTGGTCATTTTATTTAAGAAATGCCTAAGTAGCATGCTCTTGTAATGATTATAAAAAAATTTAGTAAAAGTAGGAAATTTGATCATTTTGACGAGTATTTTGTTTCAGTAGGCACATTAGTAATAGATTATTTCCTTGCCACACCCTACTGATCAGAACATGCCTATACTATTAGTGGTTTCATAGATAGTAATGTATTCTCCTTGATGGCCAGATTACCAAAAGGGATTAGGAAAGCTTGATGAAAGCTACTCTTGCTTCTGATGATAAGGGTTCAAATTTCCAGAAAAACATAAGTATCTTTATAATTCTAAAAATATTTTACCAGGATTAGATAATAGATATAAAGATTATACGCAAATCTTTCTACTCACTGCCTTTGATGAGTTACAAATAACATAGTAGGATTTGTTGAGTGATTTTCGTCAGAACTGTGATTTTTACTAATACTCTGGTTATCATTAGCGAAACTATTTATGTAACTTTTACGGCTCTTATCTTGTTTCAACCTAATATGTCTAAATATAGTGAAGCAATCTAACTCTTACAGAAAGGTAAAAATATCAGTGTAGTTCTGCACAGTATCAAATTACTGACATGTATGAGCTATCGGCAATCAATAATAGGAACAAACTATCATCGGGATAAATTTAGCATCAATAAGTCGAGTTAAAAATTATATCTTATATTAAATTATTGCTTTAGTCAAGCATATTCAAAACAATAGACTCAAATTTTCAAAGCTTGATTAGCGATACAATTGAGTAGATTTTCCTAAGATGTTCGATAAAAAGATTATTTACTGTTAACCACACTTAAAACCAAACTAGTCACTAAAGTCATCGGCCTTTTACTTTTGACCCATGTATGCACAGGAAGTCTTTCCCAGTCTGATTAGATGAATAGGGAAGTATCTAAAGTCAGGACTATGTGATACGGGTTCAGATCACCGAGAGAACATACAAAATCTAGATATAAGACTATCCGTCAGTCAACTTCTAACACCTAATATCAAAATGCAGTGCACCACAGTATCATATCACTCAGCATGGTAGCGGAATCGCAAAGTCGATAGATTGGCTACAGTCACTAAAGTCCCTAAGAACTACGCACCTGTTTCCCGCTGGTAACCGATCCTAGAAATCGCAGTAAAAAGTAGAAGTTTGTAAACGAATTAGTATGTAGGATGAAATCATGCAAAAAACTAACCATTAAAACAATAACCAGTTGTATATTTATCTTCGAATCTGCTGTGACTAACTTCAGATATTTCTGACAGTTATCCTTATTTGTGTTAGAATGTCTCGTAGTCATAAATATTCACTTTCAGCCCCCTTGTTTAAGAACTATTGCAAACTGTAGTGAAACGGAATCTGATAGTAATAGACAAGATAATTAAGAGGAATGTAAAAAGCTATGCTTTACTTTTACATAGTGATCCAAGACACTTAGTAGGGTTGTTAGGCGGCTCTGATAAAAGGTTTCTCTTTTGTTTTGGAATATAAAATACACTCACTATCAAAACATGGACTTTTCGAAAGATTTTTCTGAAATGGTAATTCAGTCATTTCCTTCTTTGAGATTCAGATGAACAATATTGAGCTAGCCTACTAGTTACACTTTGAATACCACTGAAAAGCGATGGATATATATCGATTTAAGGGACTCAATAAGTGTGATGCTTGTGTTATGACTCAGACAGTTTAGGATAACCAAGTTGAATCCCAAAAAACCATTGTTTCTTCAAAGTTGTTGATGTTGTTGTGTTGTTGGTGTTAGTATCAGAAACTGAAAGAACTGTATCATCGGTTTCTTGTTTAGGCTAGTGACTAATTAAAACATCTAGCTTTAAGTTGTTTGGTTTGTTTTTTTCTCAAACTACATGACAAAGGTGTTACACTGGGTTAGCTTGGGGTTACTTATTTTAACTACTCTCATTATTATCATCATAGCTACACATTTGACGCAGTGTTTCCATGGCAAGTGCATACAAAATCTAAGCATCAAGGGGTTTTAAACTTATATTTTCAAACTAATTTTTATTTATTCGTTCATAAGCTATCCTCTTTAAAATAAGTAAAGTAACTTTCGCTCGGGAGTAAGGAATTTACTGCATTTCACCTTTAATTACTGTCTCTTCAGTATGAATGGAATCCAGGTATATGAGATTCGAGCTGCCAAGTATTTTTTTAGTTTCCGCAAACCAGTCATTGTTTATAAACTGGTACATGGACCTTAACAAGTCCATACGTAGGTAAACTCACTATAGACATCCAACAAAGTTCCAGTTCTTTCAACAGAGTAGGGAAGTGGTCCCACAAAGTAGTTCATTGTTATCGGTAGTAGTAGTATCAATTATTGTTGCATGCTGTTTTAATTTGTAAAAAGGATTGTAAGCTCTCTACGGTAGTCTTTACAAAACAACTCAAGCTTAGTGATCAGGTTTACGGAAAGTACTTTGTACACTTACAAATTAATAAATTTGCTTTTATTTTGTCACTATGGTTGCTTTCATTTCAAATGACTCATGAAGAGGTACATTATCAGATCTGACACCATGGATAGTACTACCTTGAGAGCACCTAAGGCAATATGAGGTTTAAACCGGGTTGAGTGAATAAATACTATTGTTGATCAAGGTTATTATCCATTTGAATGACGAAATGTCTGAAATGCAGTTTGAAAAAGTGGAGCTATTGGTTGGCTAAATGGATTTATGTTAACAAAATCATCTGCTACTTCAATGTTAAATTTGTTATGAAAAGCTGTAGATTCTTGGGTTAAAAGAGGCTAGTAAAAAAGAAGGGAGCGTTCATTAACAAACCCAAGAGTCTCCGTTGCTTGCCATATGATGACAAGCTACCATCAGACAGATACAGCTAACACTTATGAGCCCAAACTCTATTTGATATGACAGTTTTTTTCTAGAGATATCCCAACTATTACTTAGAAAACGGCTAATTATGTACACACTCAATCTGACTTACCATTTCTCCAATAGTTCCTTGTATATCCGGATTATTCACTGCCAAAATGACATCAAATGGAATAGCAGCGAGTAAATCAAGAAAGAACCAGCCTCGTAAATAGTTGATAGCAATAGCTTTTAAGTGATAAACAACTTGTCCACTTTTACTAACGTATGTAGTCCAGAAATTTAATATGATATCTGTTTAAAAGGTTATAAAATACAAATTATTGTACAAAATGCAAGGTGGATGGAAGTAAACAAAATAGTATAAACACATTTAACGAAATAACTGATTTTCATAGAGGTTTACTGATTATGAATTAATCACTTGGCGCAACTGTTAAGATCACCTTGCAATCCAAACTAATCAAAGATACATATGAATAGATTTTGAAGCAAATCTACTTCTCGCCTAACTGATGAGGACTGAATGATGATTTCACTTGAAGTAAATATGTTGAAACAATCCCATTTAGCCATGGAAAAACACATCATTGTATTAAAGGAAAATTCTTCTTTTCAACGAAATCATCCTTTAATCTGTATGTGCATGCATATATGGTAGTCCCTAGTCCAACGTCAGTAGAAACTGCGTCACAAGGGAAGGTTGTGTAATGGGGGAATGAAAGAAATGATGACAAAATAAATATGGTTAGGCCAAGCGCATGTTATATAGAGTGATCAATATTTTACGATGGCCATTGCGAAGAAAGAGGTTGTACATACTTCATATGAACACAAGATGCAGGTTTGATTCTTTGGATTCCTAATGGTTCAGCTGTGCACGGATCTCCTAGCCTTACTCCTTTCGAGTGGCTTGGTTGCACTGTAACAGAACACTGTGTAAACTCAAAATATTTGGCTCCTTTTGGTAAGTCCTTCAAAATTCTTTACAAAGTGCGACCGAACCACTAAAAAAGGGTGAGGTCAGGATATCTGTCAATAGTTGAAGCATTGGTGATCCATAAACCCAAACCCTCATTATATGTTCAGAAGAAATACGTATAGCCTATTTCTTTATCACAACTATCGTAAATTTTCGATCACTATAAATAACACACAAATGATGTAATTCTTTTTATACTGGGTGAAAAGTGACTGTGAAATGAAAAATTGAACCGCGAATAGATTCGAGCCAGCGACTACAGGTTTCCAGCCCGATAGTCTAACAAATGAGCTACGAAGTCCGACTGCTGACCAGATTTTTGTTTCACTTAAATCATTAGGAGATTTTCGCCGGACTACCATGTGAATTCGTGACGCGTTACCACAGCTTGATCGTATTCAGACTGGCTGCTTGGTCAGGACTTCTCATTCCAATACCAATCCAAATCTAACTGAATCAGAGAGGGGGAGTATCATTCTGATTACCATTTGACTATCTGAGATAACCGCTGTTTGACAGACTAGTATTCATAGTGGGTGAGGATTGAAGGTGAAATGAAAATTTGTAATCACTTCTTTCATTTCCATTTTACGTAGCCTTTCTTTGTGACGCAGTTTCCACATACCTATGATTAGGAATTACTCTGGGATGCCCTATACCTTTTGCCATTTATTCACAAATGTACAGGTTAAAGAATGATTTCGTCAAAAAGAAGAATTTTTTTGATACATTGGTATATTTTCCTGTGAAGTGTATGTAAAAATATCGCTTAAATGCAACATTAACATAAGTTGCAGACCTTACGACGGCGGTTACTTACAGTCTTCAGAAGGGTTTTGAACTGGAATTTTTATTTATTACATCAATGACCACATCACAGTTATCTGTGTCAGAAAAGAATGTATTGGGCGGCAATTTGTTATCACACAGACAGTAGTCAACAAAAGTTAAAAGAATGGAGATTTTAAGAAAATGGGAATAACTAGCCTCTTAATGTCTACTTTTATATAATGACCGACATCTTTGTGTAGGAAATGTTTGTGCATAGGTAGGTATTAGTTTAAGTCCACATAGATTTGAGTTTTGGCAGACAAAATAGGGATAAAAACAGCTGATACGGCATGCACTGGAAACCATGGATAGAGTGGGAAGAGGAAGCAGTTCAAATGAAGATCGGGTAACTGTATCATTTGGTCATTAGAAACCAGTTGGAGTACTTGACGCAGTCCTATAGTGCGTCAGTTGCAGCTTGGTGGTTAAGTCTCGAAGTTAAGAGCTGTATGAGGCAGATTCAAACTACCGAGGAAACACCAGTTTCCTAATGAGTGCTGATACGCCTTACTGATGAGTACAGGACGGTATGAAACATCTGTTTAGGGCAAAAATAGGAGTTAATCTCTTGGACGGCATCATTTACAAAAGTTTTAAAATCCTATTTACAACCACCTGAAATAAATAACGGTCAGCTGGTGAAGAGTACTGTGAAGAGATTAGCTTTCGACAGTCGTCATTTAGACTAGTAGAACTGCATCGAACAAGATTTATTGTTGAATAGGTAGAACTCAACAGATGCCGGTTGTTTCTGATACTTTATCTATTCAGTTGTGATAAAATTCAACGATTCAGTGAAAATTTACTCTTTAAGTGGATAAATTGGGTTAATTAAATAAAACAGTTTCACTTGGTTGTTTAATGATCTGATTATTTTTCGTAATAGAACATCTGTGAATTGCTTCGCTTACCAGTTGGTATATTGAGGCAGTTTTTCATGTAACCTAATGAAATGAAATCAGTTAAACTACTTTCGAAATTCCATGCCTTCAATCATTAATTAACTTATCCAGTGATGTTGAAAATAAAAGTGAATCAGAACCGGATTCGAACAAGAGGAATGTGTGGCTTTTGTCTAGTATTCTACTTCTGGTAGCCAAAAGACTTTTGGCCAGAACTTTTCTGTGATCTAGGTTTCATTTCAATTTTTGCTGAAATCTTTTTATCAGGTCCGCCCATTGTGCACAAGGTTTACTTTCTCATAACTAGCAGACTAACGACAACAGTCTTTCGCTTCCACTGTATTCACACTGAATGCAATTGTTTCTCGTAAGTAGTTATGTACAATGCGTCTTACTTTTCTTAAAATATTTGAACTCAAATAGTTTGGTGAGAAGAATATCAGCTATTCTGCATAAGTCTTCGTTACGTTGAAAACTTAACCTAATACAACCATCATTTTTGGTGATGCCTGATATAACCGGATGAATTTGATCTGACTTATGATTATGTGGCATAAAAATTTTATTGGAACAGTTACTAACGGTGATATAGTATCAGTAAAATCAGAATTTCCCACTATCTTCACCTTTTATCTTCGATTCATGTACGTTCAAACTCAGTACTTCAGTTGTGATAGTCATGATTCAACCTTGACTACTTTTAGTAGTGTACCAGTCTGTTCTTGTGATTTTCACTGTAGAACCAATATGTTGTTTTAGTTTCTAGTATCCTTCACTTGAAAACAGCGGTCCCAAGCTTAAAAAGAGCTAGGTTGACTTATTTATGTGAAATATAATTTCTCTTTAGATCTTAGGCAATAATTAGACTGCAAAGTTTTGAATACGTCTAACAAAAATATATTTTTATATTTTTGAAGAGTGAATTTTGCTACACAATTTAAAATGAAAAATTCCTTATGAAAGGATGAAATGTATTCGTTAGCAAGTTGTTTCTTATAGCTTTCAATCACGTCGATTGATCATCAAAAATGGGAAATTTAATGATAACTTGTAAAATGTAAAAGTCTCAGAAACCGGAAGCAACATTATTCTGCCTAATTGTTTATTATATGAATAGCGTACAACCGTTAAATGTTAAAGAAAACTAGTACGTAGATCAGCAATCTAGAGCGAAAGAAGAAGAAATCACCATTTTTTAATACTTTGTTAAAAACGGAGTAGAAGTAAGGAGACATTTTTCAAGATGCTTTAAAATATCTGTGCTAGTGAAAAACTTCTTTGCTTTGAAACAAAAGCAAAGAAGAATGTTTTCTACTGCTGTTTTTTCAAGCTTTGTGTCTACACAAGATGCTGAATCTATCTTTTTTAACTAAATATATTTAATCTGTTTGAAGACAGTTAAGAAGCATTTGTAATTTTGGGTTACTTGTATGATCAAAAAGAGTAAGGTGTGTCAACAGCCTTAAGAAAAAAATATTACCATAAGGATCGAAACATTCATCGCTTACTACTGGAACCAAAAGCTTGGGCACAAACGGACTTCATCAATATTAAACTAGATATATTAGTCATTATACAGAATAGTATATGGCATTTCGAGTAGTCTTGAGTACCAGTATATTGTTGCAGCTTTGGATTTAGCTCTATGTTAAGTGGTTTTTACTCCCACGGCCAAATTTTAAACTCATAGAATAGGTGTTTTTGAATTGTGTATACCTTCAAAGGATGAAGTTGTTAGTTACATATTATGCCGCTTATAGAGAGAAGAGTAATTTTTAAAAGCATTAAGTGAAAACAAAGGCCTTACCATAAAGGTGTTTATTGTGTTACTCTGTCGTAACTTATTTTGTCAGACTGTCATCTGCCGTTTAAATCATATCTCGAGTTGGTATCTTAGATTGTTGAATCCGTCTTAAAAGACACAGAATAACTTTATGAGTTGAAATGAGGCCCTTGGAAAACCAATAGGCCTTCATGTAATCTTAGCATTCTTAAGCACAAACGTTTCATCAAGAAAGTTATAAACTTGTGATCAGAATGTATGAGATATACTATTCAAACTGAATTCCCAGGAAGAAGCATATAAACATGGATCTCATTTTTATTGTATTTTTAGAAAAATAACAATCCGTAAGTTACAAGTAATCAGTTTTGCCAGTGATTTTTATTTACGTAAATAGCTGTAGGATAGCATGACCCAGCAAAAGTTACTCATGGAAAGTGAGTTAAAGAAAATATGCAGTTCTTCATCTTTCCGGGTGTGTTAAAAATACTATCTAAACTAAATCGAATTCTCGTTTACTTGATGATAAAGCTTCTCAATGAGATATTCATGATGGTCGTTTTTATTATTAAATACAAATAATCCTTACATACACTGTTCTTTTTTCTCAAGCTGAAAGATTAATCTTTTAGATTAAGACCATCTGGAGTTTGGACGCAACTGACTTTTTCACATAGTCTCCAACATCTTTATTTGATCAGTTTCCCACAGTCATGGCTGTGGAGAAAATTGACTAATGGTAATCCATTTGTGACTTAATTAGTCGCACAACTCATTCCTTATTTATTTCAGAACA